AGGGTAGAGGCGCCACCACCAACGGGGGTGGACAAGACGAGCGGTGGGTGCAGCGAACGGAGCCCAGTCAGCTCCAGGATAATTAGATCCTTTACAGGTTACCAATGATTGATAGTCTTCGAAATACGTACCTCACCCTCTCTCTCTCTCTCTCTTCCTCTCTCCGATTTCCGCGCCGAGTTTCCTTCCACAGGCACACACACGTGGACGTTCCACGAACATACATGCACACCTCCCATATATCTATGAAGCTTCGTGCATGGAACGAAATACGCGCGCTCGTCAGGGAGGGTTTGGATGTACACGATAAATACGAAATCCCTTCAGCCGATTACGTCCTACTGAGCTTTGCCTGGGTCGCGACCCTCTGTAGCCTCTGTATCGTTGCTTGGGAAAAAAGAGCTCCGTGTCCATCGCGTCGCCCGCTGATTCTGGCTCGATTCTTGTGCCGTCGATTTGTCGATGATCCGCGTTATTGTCGTGACTCTTAAATCATCGATGCTCATCCCCCCTACAAACAAGTTTGAAGATCAGATTCGGAAGCAAAATGCATATTCGGGTCGTTCAACTCTAAAACAGGTAGGATGGATGTTTTGGAAAAGTTGCTTCACTTTCTTCTCTATTATATTTACTTCTTTTTTTCATATATATATATATATATATATAAAAGATTTAAATCTAATTTTCTCAAACATATATAAGATTATGATTTTATTTTGATAAATTTTGAAAATTCCGTATTTTACAAAAATCGACAATAATATTAAAATGATCGATAAAGTTTGCCTTTATAATGAACGACCACTTATACGTTGTAGAATGTTATGTCAGTTAAAAATTTTCCCGACTGACTCTCTCTCTGTAAAAGTTTAACTCGGCAACAATCGCGATATTTTGCGATACTTTACACAGGCACATCATACGCACATACGTATTATCCCGATCTCAAAAACTTCTTATTCAATTTAGACTTTTTATTCGATTTTTAAATTTCAATTTCTTGACGTCAGCCGATACCTTTACCCTGCTATTTAACTGGTCTCGTTCAATTTCTTTGCCATTGACGTCAACTGTATATTCCTGCATTCTACTTTCGCTTTCATAACATCAATAAATATCGGAAAAAATTGTCATAATTTCGGCCGTTTGACGTCAAGCATGTAATATTTTGTTCCGTATTAGAGCGAGCATGAGGAGCCGCGATGTTAATTGAAACGGTCAAAACAACGCAGGAAACAACGAGACTAGAGAAAAAGAATGTTACTTCTGCTGTACGAGCAATAACAAAAAATGCGAAATTAAATCCCACTGCCGTACGTGCCACTGTAAGCCCGGGCGCGACACGTGTAACGTCGGCTAAAGAATTAATATCAAAAACACCGTTCTCCGTCCAAACGCGAAGGAATGCATGTATTTGTAAGGAAATTAAAAACGACATGAAAGTGTGTGCGGCCCTACTTCTTGTCCTTCTTGTTTCCACGCTACGAAATTAAGCAAGATGTTCCGACAAATTAATTCTGGCTTCTAAATAAAATTAAATTCAGAATTTTTTTACAAGATTCTTTGAAAAAGCGGAGCTTGTTTATTAGCGTATAAGAGAAGAGATATAGTGCGATATAAGCATTTTATATATTCCAATAAAATTATTTTTATTTGACGGTGAAAAGGAATCTTGTAACTGTCCAACTGTAAATTTTCATAGCACTTACAGTCACAAAAATGTATTTAGACAAGAAGACAGGAATGTAAAGTTTGACTCTAACATAACGCGATATAAATTACCATTTAAATTACGTTTAGTAATCAATGAAATATTGTGTCAAAAATATATAGTTTTCGTTATATTCTCGTATAGCTTGTCCAAACACTTTCTTCCAAAAAAGTAAAAACGTGCGAAACACACTAGTTTTCAAAACAATACACTTTTTATATGTGCAATTTTTTCAGTCTTTTTTTTTTCTAGTCTATAACAGGCGAAAGATAGTCGCAAAATATTTTTGCCCAAGAATGCAGTTGTGTAATATTTCTCATCGATACCGTCAAACTATTTTGGTAATATCTTCTATAATTTAATTACCCGTTAATTCATTTCAACAGCAGCTAATTCTTCGCCAAGTTTCGTTATATAATAACTCTTTTTATCGTTTATTTCCCATATTTGTACACCAGTAAAGAAGATTTTTTATTACTCTTTAGATTTTAAATAAAAAAATTAATCCCCTTAATATATATTACTTGACGCTTATAGCGCTTATCGATATGTTGTAAGCAAAGTCAACAACTTTCGTTATCGCGTGTAAAAACTGTTATTACCCGCGTATTGCGTAGAGGCCTACTTGTGGTGTGTGTAATACTTTTCCACGAGCTCGCGGTGGCCTTCGCACTGACTTTAGCATGTAAATGAAAAGAGACTGCGGGACATCCCTCGGAATACCTTATCACCTGTTAACATCTCGCTAACTCGGTTCCACGCAACTGTCGTCCCACGCAAATGTCAGTGGACGACAGTATAGTGACTTTGACGATTGCTGATGCAGAGAAACGTGCCCGTTGGTGGCTAGATCTTAAAGGATCGTCTTTCGTATAATGCGACTCGCTCGAATAACCGGCTGTACCGGCAACTTTTTCGATTCCGAAATTCCGAACACATATAAGGAGAGAAATATTAAAATTACATTATATGTCAATTTTAGGCGCATCACGCCCGAGATCAGGCGGACGTACAAAAAGTAGTAAATATAATGTCTTTTTATTGGCTTTCAATAAAACACGGCGCGCGTGTGATGCGTGCGTGACGTGTTTAATATTAAAATTTGCACTTTTAAAAGCGTCTGGGGCAAAAATAGAATAGCCAAAATTATCTCGGGACAAATGTAAACCTGTGGTCGACCCTCTCCAAGAATTTTATCGTAAATAATGTCACTTTCGATAGAATATTTTTTTCTTCTTATGTGAATCGTATGCGGGGCGTTTTACGAATCGTCTGTCTGGAGACAAATGTGTTCTCATCCCAGTATAATCAAAGATTTATTATTAAAATCACAGTGTGTTCTCGAAAAATTTGATATTTCCTATGCTCATTAATTTGCGCGGCGAAAGGAAAAAGAGATCGGCCATTGTTAACTGCCGCTTACACCGTGGAAAAGTTCGCTCGCGCAAAAAGCTCGCAAAAAACCGTTCCTATTCTTGCGAAGAAAATATAGGATTACACTTCATTATCTTGCTAAAGTGTAAAATGTACCGTCGGCGTCGCCGTAAGCCGATCGTTATACTTCAAGTATACGTAAATATATTCCTGTAAATATATCCTTGTCGATATAAAACTACGTCCACCATCAGCGCGCGAGACCATAAAATTTTTATTTTATAGGTTTACGCAAATTTTACAAATTTAAAGATCGTGTTAAATTAATGAGAATTCGTGTATAAAATCAGATAATAAAATTCTATAAATTCTTTACAGTTCAGCTATTTTTACAAAGTTGTTTTTGCATAAAAATCGAAATCCGAGTTAAATAACGCCGTCGTACGTGTTCAAATTATAAGGCTGATAATGGTGATTAATTTCGGTACTTACGTCTAAACACGCGAGACGATACTAGACATGAAATAACAGGTTACTAAAGGTTAACGGCACCTTAGACAAACTCGCAAACTCTACACCGCGCGAGCATTCCCTCCTGCACGTTCAAACAAAGTTGCATCAAATTGCAACTTGGACCGCTACGGATTGGAGATATAAATTTACCGACACGATATAATGTTTGGACATTTGCTAAGAATAAAAAAAAAATAGAATACTATTTTTATCTGCAAATCTATTTGCCCTTGCGCTTGCTCGGGTTAAACTCGCGTAAATTCATTTGTCTTTCTCGGCCGCTATATTTCGTCTCTTTGCAGTTTTACCTTTTTTTTCTCCTCCCACTGTGTCGTCGTCGTTGTCGTCGTCGTCTCTACGATATCCTCGCACAAAATATCAGCCGGCTGCTGAGAGGAGAGATGCGGGAAGATTTCTGTTAAAATTCAGCATTTCCACACGATGACACATCGGAAATTTTTGCAATATCTCAAATCGTGCGTCTTCCGTTAGTGAGCTACCTCTCCTCTTCCTTTACACGCTAGGAGACAGGTACTTCCTCTCCCTTGGTCCTCCGCGTTCCCTTTATCTCTCTCCTTTGCCTGCATTGCGATGGTGTTCAATAAAAGCCGCAGGGGCCCCAAACTTGCGCGGTCCACTTAGGGAAGTCCCCCGTCGAAAGATGCATATATATGAGGAATTTATCATGAATCACCGTGCAACGACATCACAGTCCGATGTACGTCAGAGCTGCCGGGTGTGAAGCAACATTGAGGATTCCACCTGCATAAGGAGTAGGTATGTATGTATTCATCACAGACCGATCGCTGCTGTCTGGCTTCCTGATGCCGCGAGAAAGACAGCTCTGCCTGCGGCAAACGTCTTCGTGGAAGATGCGGCGAATCCGACCGCTTACGAGGAGAGACCGAATCAATCATCGCGAAGAGGCATTTGGAGAGACAATCGCGGTCGACTAGCTTGAAACTTGTGGTCACAAAACTACATGACTCATTTTTGTATACAATACATGTTGTATCTGTTTTATATAACAAATACCTGAAAAAAGGATAACAAAATATAAAATTAAAAAAAGATTGCAAAATTAGACTATGTATACGAAAAATATTACGAAACATCTCTTTTTTCCTTGTACTTTCACAAGTCATTAAGAATTTTTCAATTATTTCTTTCTAAAATAAATATTCCTTTTTAAATCTTGTCGCCAAATGTTTAATTTCGAAAATTGCAAAGATTAATATATTTTCAAAGCTTCAGATAACTTGGTATAACAGAAATAAAGTCATAAGGAATTCTTATGTTGCACTTTCGAGGAATTAAAGGATTATAGTTTTAGATATTTTTTCAGAATTTTTGGATGAATGATAGGAAGATCATCTATGAAAAGCACAAGAAAAATACAAAATTAGGGAAACATAGTTTTATTTTTTAATACTGTTTGTCTCCTCTTCTATCGATTCTATAGAAGTAGAAAAGTACGCGTTAAATTTAATACGTACGTTAAATTTGTAAATGCATGCTTATAGTTAATACCGATGCTCGGTATTTTAGACTGTTCATATTTCTTATTGAAACACAAAAATACATATTAATATATATATTAATATATATAATAATGTATATATATTAATAGTGCATATAAAATGTATATAAAAGGCTGCAAAAATATTATCTAAGATTGCATAGAAAAATTACAAAGTTCCAACACTTACATATTTTGATCGATATATACTATAAAAATATTGGTCGCATTATCTTATTATCATGTAAGCTAATTATGCCGAGTATGTAAATTCCAATTATACATATTATGTCGTTGGAAATTATCTCGCTATGTTTCCTCCTACTTCCGGCGCGAAATAAATCAGATTATTTTCGATACATCGCAAAAAAGTCTTTGTACAATGCACATCGTATTCGCAAAAAATAAATACATACATATAGATAGATAAATACTTAAATAAATAAATAAATAAATATAAATAAATAAATAGATGCTGGCGAGAATAAATAGATGATATGGTGTATACGATAAACAGATAATGTGCGTCAATCGCGATGGGCATTTGTGATTCACTTCGTAATCATTATCTATCTAAACGGCGCACGTGATGAATGCGCGATGATAATTGCATTCGGATACGTGATACGTACACGTGCGACCGGATTTAACACTACCTGAGCGATTACGTTATGAATCGAATACGTGTTTTATCACATTGTTTGGCAACAACACCGCGAAAGCCAAGAGAATCTATAAATATTAAATGCACGCGATAGCGATTTCTTAGATTTTCCTATCTTAGATGAGGCTGCACGGCGTTACGCCATACGATACTTCTCCTATCGTTCGAACGTCAACATTGAATAAATCTGTTAAATTCCCGGTACTCGCGCGTCACTAGAAGCAATGTTCAAATGAGTTTCTAGGCAAAAATAGAAAAAAAAAGGAAAAAAAAAAGATATCCGTTCATTTACGGATTGTAGACCACGACAACGGAATGTCTCTCTTATTCGAGGACGCGTTCTATTTGATTCAACTTGAAGAGATAGCCGCGCCTTATCACATCGTCACCGTAGCGAATCTTCATTCTCGTCGATATCAATCGTCGATGGGTAATACTGATTCAGTCACTAGAGCGTTGAGCTCTCGACGGGCGCACACGCAACCCACGTAGATCTTCATCTTCATCTTCTCTCTGTTTTCACCGTTGCCATATGACACATCGATGTAGCTGTATGTCTGTATGCAGCAGTAGGTGCCGGTGTTCTGGCAGCTGCTACCGGCGTGATTGCACTTGACGTGCTGGAGGTTCTTCGGCGTCCGGGTGCCCCGGATATCGGGTATCGACTCCACGGTGTAGTTGCAGATTGAGCTGTTCTGCGCCTCCTTCACCTCTAGCTCGAAAGACGCACGAAGACCGCTGTTTGTGCTGGTGTGCTGTTTGATCTGCTGCTCCAGATCCCACTTGTCCTGGGCGCTAAAAATCTGATAGTTCACCGTGCCGCTATGTCCGTTGTGACGTTTCCCGCGGACGACAAACTTCGTCGAGGCATCCTCGATAATGTCCTCTTGCCTGCGTATTTCATCCTTTCGCTGTAAGGACTCGGCATAATTCTTTGGATCGTACACATGTTTGTATCGATGAGACGACGGTATACGCTCCTCATATTTCGCGGAACGATCGAGAACTCGGGACGAGTCACGCCTTTCCATCTGTCTCCTGTAGAGATCCTGCTGGTACTCCAGATCGTCCTCCAAGCGTCTCGACAAATCGCGCGGCATCGATTCCTCGAAATTCGGATAATAATCCGAATGAGAATGATGGTTGTGTCGTCGTCTCAGATTCCGGCCTTGGACGATTGACATGCTGACAACACAGGCGAAAAAAACAGGCAGGCACAATCTGATGCCGAATACTGCCATTATGTCGATTTGAAACTCGTTCGAAAATTAGATTCTTGCAGAGGTCGGCAGTCTTTATCGCTGATGCAATCGCTTTATTAGCGGCTTCTTCTCTGTTAACAGCGTCGTTGGCGCCTTCAGTTCAGGCACTTTCGAGCGGTCTCTGCCGAATCGCTTACGCAATCGCGATGAAGATATCGAAATTGAGGGATCACAATTCAAAGTCAATTCTCGCGCTTCCTCAGATGTTTGATTTTACGAGGATGGTTTCTCTACAAACAATTCGATCTCTATCGAGTTTTCTTTGAGATTCGATAAGATCGAGACGACGCGTGTCTCAGCGCGAGATATTAGAAGATGCGAATACGCGATGCGTCAATATCTGATTACGAATGTTCAATTTCGACCAGTTGTTTGACGAATCCTGTGACGTAAGTCCAAAATATTTCGACGAACTAGCTGTTTTACAGTCTGACTGTTTGCCGATACTGGTTCGCCAGTCGAAGCTCGGCCAGTGCGACACTGACCAGCACAATACAGCCCCTGACGGTTTTCTGGATCTTCCCAACGGACTTGGCGAGATCAGACGATACAATCGGATTGTTAGGACTTGCAAGCCGAGGGACACCGTCTTCCGTTTCTCGTTCGTCTTCGGCTTCGTCTCGCTTAATGGTTTGCTCAAAACTGAGTATTCCCTGATCCCCGAAGGATTTTTTATCCTGCCCGCGAACGCGCACATGGGTAGTGTTGCCCCACTTTAACGGGGGGGGCTTACGCGTGCCGATGCACGCGAAGACGTGTGACTAATCGCCCCCTCTCCTTTGTCCGCGTCTTGTCCGCAGCCCCTCGATATCGGGATCGGGGCCCCGGAGAGGAGAATCTTCATTAGCGCGACGCGGCGGCTTTTTCTTCATCTTCTTCTTCTTCATACGCGCCCTCCTTCTTTTTGACGTCATGAGCTCTTCGTTTCCTTTCGACGGATCACCGCCACCACCATCACCGGTTCCCTTAACATGACATCGCTATTCGCCTCGGATGTCGACGTCATCAGCTTGGCGTCCACTTCTAGCGGAAAGACGAGACTGATTGTCTCGTACTTCGCGGAAATCCATCATCGGGCAGAATGCCCGGCAACTATCCTCTCTGTCTGTTGACGACGATGGTGATGACGATGGTGATGACGACGATGACGATTACGCTGTATGCACCGCAGGCTCCAAGGAAGTTTTTACTTCGAAAGTAACGCAATGCCTTTCCCTTTTGACGTTTACGCGCGACACAATTTTTCCGCATTGACGTTCGCACCTGACCGACCTGAGACCGTGCGATTACTCTTTCATGGGAAAGAATTCCCAGTTAATCGATTACCGTCGTCGTTCTCCGAAACTCGATGTACTTCGTCGGATTACACGATGAGACATGTTCGTGGAAAGTCAAGTACCTGAGGAACCCAATCTGCTGATTTTGCCGCGGATGGAATTTCGAACCCTATTATTCGCGCGTCGATAAAAATTTCGAACCACCGGACCGGCATTTTAAACGCCGGAAAGTGCCACGCATCCATCATCATCGCCGCCAAAAACATAAAAAGTTGCCACCTTCACGCGAAAGTATTTGAAATGGCATTTACGCAAACATGCTTGCCCCTTCCATCACTCTCCCTCTCTTGAGTAATACCGTGCCGGGCTTTCTGCTTGCACGTTCGCGTGAACCAGTTGAGGTAGAATCATCAGGCACTCACGGGGTTTCCAGACGTGCCTGCTTTTTTCTTTTCTTTTTAGAACGCGACAGAGAACACGTGTATCGTGTGAAAGTGCTCCTGAAAACGCTTTCTTTATTCTAACTTCTACTATTACCGTTATCTTTTTCATCAAATGTGTATGTATGTGTGTATGCACGCGTGCGGATATATTTAGATACAGAAAAACGCTTAAAATTTTAAGTATACGATCTTAATTCATTCGTTATGCGTAGAAGCGTGTAACATTAAGATTAGATTTTATAATCGTCACATATAATATGTGGTTTAAAATACATTTCCTGACCTTTGGAAATATCCTGCAAAGTATCAAATTTATATCTATTTCTTTATTCATTTATTATTTTTTTATGATTTTTTTTCTACCTTTATTTCTCTTAATCCATTTTTATATATTTTTTTAATTGTGTGTGTGTGTGTGTGTGTGTGTGGGTGTGTTGTTATTTTATTAAATTTTTTACGGAAAGCTCTCTAGATCATCCAAAAAAATTAAAAGATATATATTAAAGTTATTAAATCAAGATGCATTAAATCTTTTTTATATTCTGTTTTCGGCATTTATTTATAACGCCAGATGGTACCGGTATGGAAATACCTTGAGAGAGCAAGAAAAGTATGTATATAATATAAAGCTGATCCTCGACAATTTGCAGATTAGAAATTTAATTTTTAGAAATAGATATAAGCTTCTTCTAAACTTGTGCTCACTTTTTGTAAGACTGATGTAAAATTTTGCCCTGCAACATGTTTACATTATGCTAATGTTGTTGTTGTTTGTTTAATCATATCTCCGAATTCTTGTGCATGAATCCTCCATTCGCGACGACTGCAAAAAAATTGCTATATTCGCCGCCGATATTGCAAAAAATTACGCAGAGGAGTTCAACGATGAACCGGTTTTCCAAACGATTGAAAGAGATTTATTTCCTGTATATATATTATTGAACAAATAAGACATGTATATAGGGTAATTCGCCTTTCGATTCTACGAAAGACATTCTCTTAATTTTAATGCCATCGATTTAATTCGCTTCATTAATTCTGCATTATGATGTAATTGACGCTATTTTTAAGTATTCCGGATTTTGGGATCTGGAATATATATGTAAACTTTTTATACGCACAATGTATTTTTTATCAATTACTTTATTCCTCCAAAACATCTTATATTTAAGAAGAGTTTTCAAAGGGATAAAATATAAAGTCTCTACACGTTAAAACACTTTATAGTTTACACTCTCTTCACTTTCATTTACGTGAATAAATCTATCGAGAGATCGCTTCTCGTTGGGAAACTTGCGTGTGTACCGAATTTAAGGACGGATTGCGTGGCGACTACGCAAGATCTTCTGATACATTCGTCCATTGATAGCTGCGGATGGTAAGCCTTAAAATATGCCAGCGCGCCCAAAAATGCATCCCCAGCACCCTATCGCATACGATTACACTTAGCTGGCTGGACGCAATTCCATCTTAAATGCGTGTACATTTAAGTGAATCACTAAAGTGAATCAGCGGTTAGATTAACTTTAGAAATTGACCGGTTATTGGCTCAAAAAAGAACGGAAGCGTGTCGTTACACGCTTTCACCTTTTAACTGTATGATCTCATAATATTAAAAGCAATCAAGAATTGAATGTCAATTCACATGATTTGTATAAACAGGAAGTACAGATCGAACAAACGGAAGAATAGAAAGATACGCGAGACGTACTTATAGCAAGTGTCCCAGAAACATCGCACGCTTTCCACTCTAGCAAATTATTATATTTAAAAAATATTCCTTAAAGAAATCTCGAATTTCGTTGAACCTAATGAATTCTAGATTTGCATGTAAGATCTTCGCGACTATGATAATTCTGCGACACTGTGTATACGCGATACGTACGGTAGTATCTACCGGGTGGACCTCGGTGACAGGAATCCGCGTGACGTTTCTATTCGTTTTCGACGCATACACAGCCCCTAGTGGCCCGAGAGTAAGGATAATCGCATTGCATCCCTTAGCCAGAAGCTTATCCGCGACTTCCTGTACATTTGACAAGTCTGCGGGTTGAATGCCCGTCATAACTTCCGCCTGCAAAAACGTAACGATGCTCCTTTTTCACGCGTCACATATTACATTCAATTAATTCTTACGCGGCACGCGTTGTTAAAAGATCGTCTTCTGATCGAGATTAATACCAATTGTTCATTTTCAACGTACCTCAGTCTCATTGACACAGAAAATATCGCATAGATTCAGGATTTCCGGATCAAAATTTTCCAGCACGGGCGCTCCGTTGACAATCGAAAGTCCTATCATATTACGCTTATGTAAAAACATTTATCCGTAGCTCAGAGCCGCGATATCGCAAATTGAAACAATATGTCTATCTTTTACAGGAAGCGGAAGTTGCACTTGAAAGATAATGCATTTTAAGTTTAACTCTATAACTATTTCAAGTGTACAAGTTTTAATACAATAATTATGCAATTGTATATACAGTAATGTTTTACACGCTCGCTTTTTTTTAGGACTTACAATAGTTTGGCTCAGAGATATAGATATATTAACATTTATAAGAAAAGAATAAAAAAGAAACAAACCGTGACCCCGATGCAATTTTAATGCATGCAGCGTGGTTTCCAGCGGAATTTCGAATTGGCATAATAAAACGCTAGCGCTCTTAATCACATCAACAGCAGAATCCGCGTATTCCGGAGTTAAGGATTCATTTGCACCTAACACGATAACGATACTGTTCTCCCCTGTGAACATTATTCGAATGGCACCGAGATTATTTCGGCAACGAAAGTACCAGGGATTATTTTAACGAGAAGTTTAATTAATGCTACTACTCGTTCAGATTTTCTGCGATTAATCTTGAAATTATCAAACATTTATAATTTTAATTTTCAAAAAATTAAACGTTCTAAAAGAATCTAACATATTTAACAATATTACAGAACATACCATCTTCAGCGACAGTGATGTGAGCAATACCACTATGTTTATCTTTTTGTATCTTGACGTGAGATATGTCTACATTTTCCTTTCTTAAAATTTCTAAGTATTCCTGAGCAAACGTATCAAAACCCAACTGTGTGATAAGATATAAAAAAACTATAATACTATATTACATATTTTGTGAAAAGAATTATATATATGACTAATTGTAGAGAAATTATATTATTAAATATTACTGACTAAGAAAAATAAATATGATATTAAATATTTTTAAAAGATCAAATTAGATGCAAAAGTAATAAATTATAGATCGTTTTGTCTAAAAAGTAAATGCATATATGTACTGAAGCAATAAGTGCTGTAGATCCACCGAGTTTAGCAGCTGCCATACATTGATTGCCACCTTTACCGCCATATTTCTTTTCAAATCTAGTTCCAATTATTGTTTCGCCAGGTTTAGGCAACCGTGGGGAGAAACTGGAAAATAATAATGATAATGTTCACAGAGGAAGACAATGTAAAATCTATATAATCATATATAATTTATCTTATAGATGATTAACAATACATCTACAATTATTAATTATAATTGCATTATAATTCATTATATATATTGATAAATATTATATATGTATATATATTTTTTTGACCTTTTTATAATTATAATATAAAATGTATGTTTAATTAAATTAATGATTAATATAAACTTTGATATAATATCAAAAACATTTCTTTTTTGCATAATTTTTAATTATATGTATTATGTACTGTGCAACTATAATACAATGTTAACTATAATCAAATTATAATGGAATTGTAACTAGTAATTGTAGATGTACTGTTAATTATCTATAAGGCAATACTAAAATTTTTGTCAAGATATCCTTACTCACCAAGTAAAATCAATCATACATGACCCGACAACAACTATTTTTGGTGTCATATCACACGGTTATTTTACAGTTCCTTTTTATATAATATATTAATAATAAACTCCTAAACTGTGTATTAGAACAGATGTTCTTAAAATACTTCAACGGTGATTATTCTTATGCAAGATTGTGGCAGAGCTAACTGTGCAGGTCAAAAACAAATGACTCCTGTTATCACAGTTTATCATCTGACGGGCCAATGAATTCAAGAACTGTTATCAGTTAAAGGAATATTTTTTTTCTATATCTACACTATACATATAACCTAACATATAAACGCATAAATACAAACGTAAGTATTATAATGGTGATGCAAATCGAGAAGTCAAAACAAAATGAATGCTACAAACACATGAATTAATTTGAACCGCCGCTATTATAACGAAAAAAATGCATTATTTACTATTTACTGCAACGTTTACCTTGACGGGAACAGGTTATTTTTTCCATTTATTATATTAAGATGGAGTTTATATGTGTAGAGGAGAGCAGAGGAGGGGATAGTTTATCGAGGCTTCGCATCTTGTACTAATAAACAAAGGATTGACAATCACTATATAAATTTTACAAACAATCAAACACCTGTATGTGTACACCGAAAATATGTTTAGACGGTATTGTGCATTGTCATACGTTACGAAAAACAATAGATGCGAAAGTGTAACGTAATTATAAAATAGATCGTCCATATCGCAATCGCATTCGCCATATTGTGTGCATACATTAAAATCCGGTGCATTACGTTAAAGTTCAAAACTATACATATTCTTTTGATACATCCTATATAGTTGTTTATATATGTATAGTAATTATAAGCAACTATAATCTAAACGCGTTTGTATGCGATTAGACAATAGTTTGATAATTTGTTTTCTGAATAAATTCAATTTTGTTGAGCAAGTGTTGATTTGAATCTTCCGCCCTCGAGGGCGGAAGATACGTCACGATCGTGACGTATATATATATATATAATGTATAGAGAATGCAATAATATATCTTTACGTTAAATGAGTCATGTAATTCATCGTTTTTTTACGTTTATGGAACTATGCAAATCTATCTGATCGATTTTTTATAGATCGCAGATTTCATACAAATCGAAATTTTCAGTTTCGATTACGGACTGCTTTCAAATTGACATGCGTACAGACAGATAATTTTGCAGATCTAAAAAGACTAATATTACTTTTTAGACAAGTATCAATAAATGTTAGTGAATCACTCTCGATTGCCAAAGAGATAAAGATTTCTACGAAATTCATTGTGGAATCGATAAATCGTCGCAACATCGTTAAAAATATAGCTATGGGCAATTTGCCGTTTAAAGGTTCGTGTCTCAAGAAAAGCGTGCGAGGCTATTTTCCAATCATTTACATAAAAAGATCGAGAGATTATTCATGCGTATTTCTAGCATTGAAATTTAATTTCAATTTATGCAGGGCTGGGTAAGTTAATTTTTCTTTAAGTTAAGTTATTAATTTTTCAACTTTTTAACTTAACTTTTAACTATGTTTAACTAGTTACTACCCAATCCTGAATTTATAATACGAACTTTGATTCTTAACTTACGTCAAAGATGAGTCAAACATCACCAAGGTTAATTAAAAATCAACGGAAAACTAGAAAAATTGTCGCACTTAATGTATATGATGTAAATGTGCTTATAACGCCAACTCTCCCCTCCATCCACTTGTTCCATAAATTCCTTCCTAGAGTGCGTTCGAAAATTCTACCCGTACGACAAAGTAGCGTTTAATTGACCAATCAGGGCAAAAGGAGCAAAGATTTCTTTATCGGGATAGGATTTTCGAACGCACTTCTATCTCGTCTATAGAGAACTCAATGTAGAGCGAAGAGAGAGGAATCGTATCTCTTTCTTCCGTTATTCTATATTTACGATTTTTACGGAATTGTTACACACAATTATTCGGATTTGTGTTCCAGGCCATCAAAAAAAAAAGTTACAGGAAATGACGAGCCCAGTCGTAATTTCGGCCACAACTAAGCACACAGCAACGGTAGATATCATCTTGGATAACGGCTGTTTATTTGGTTATACAGTGGTGGTTCTAATTGATCATAAGTGAATTATTCCCATATGATGCGTATATAGTACTTACGATTGCGACTCTTTCCTCCGTAGGATTATCTCATTGACTAAACGTTATCTTGATATTCCTCGATGAATGGCATAATTATTTAATTTTTTTCTTTTATGATGATCGTCTCTGTAAAATATGAAAATTATTAGCGGGAATAATCTAATTTTTTTGCAACGAAACCTTATCACTAATCTTTTGCATTCCCGAGATTACCTTGAATGATGTATGAAATATGTATCTATTAGTGACGTGTTTTATAGGTAGAGAATGTTTAAAATCTCAAATATATTTAAAGATATTTCTCTGAATGAAACTATATACACTATATCGCTTTACTCTGTACTAAGAAATATATATGTGTTTCAGTTAATATTTTTCCATGGATTGGGTGATACAGGGTAAGTTTTCAGTTGTAATATACGAGTATATATCGCTACAACAATGTAATTTTGTTAACATTTAACATATATTATTTTTAGACATGGCTGGGCTAGTTCAATGGGTGCTGTACGATCCCCTCATATCAAAGTTATTTGTCCTACTGCGTATGTATGATTGCTAATATCTTTTAATAAATTATGATTGTATAAGCTATAAATTAATATAATCAATAGTATTTTAATAAAATTACTCTAATTGTTTCAGGCCTACAATGCCAGTGACACTAAATACAGGGTTTAGAATGCCTTCCTGGTAATTTCAAAATTAACAACTTATAAGAGCTAAGAATATTATATTTTCAATAAAGACAATAAGTTACTATTTATCATTATATTATTTATGATTACTGAAATATATGAAATATGTGAATTTAGGTTTGATCTACGATCTCTGGACTCTAGTGGCCCAGAAGATGAAGAAGGTATACGTAAAGCTGCTGAAACAGTTCACTCGTTGATAGCAGAAGAGGTTGCTGCTGGGATACCTACCACACGCATTGTTCTTGGAGGATTTAGTCAAGGTGGAGCACTAGCCATGTACAGTGCCCTTACATTCCCAGAGCCTTTAGCTGGTATCGTAGCTTTGTCCGCATGGCTTCCTTTACATCAAAAATTCCCAGCGGTAAATATAAAATGTAACATCATATACATAATATTTATACACAGAATTGTAATATTGAATTATTTGCAGGAAGCGATAGGCAATAAAAACACTCCATTGTTACAATGTCACGGCGACTGCGATCCAATAGTGCCATATAGATGGGGTCAAATGACAGCATCTCTTCTGAAACAATTCATGACACAGACAGAATTTAAAACTTACAGGGGAATGATGCATACATCTTCCGAGGAGGTAAGAAAACTTTGATCGAGGAAGATTTATCAAATCTCAATTGTAATTTATGCTTTCTCTTCATAATTTTTATTGCTTTCACAGGAAATGCGCGATATAAAGAAATTCATCGAGAAGGTACTGAAGCCGTAATAGATCAAATTAAATATGCATTGATATTTTAATGGCTACCTTCAGCATCTAATTGTATATTATACTGAAATTATTCCAATTTTGCAATTATTTAATTTTACATAAGTTACATGAACTTTAAAGACATTAAGTAGAAAATGATTAAAAATCTTCCGAAATATGGGAAAGATGCAGTACTACATAGGAAAAAAAAATACTTTTTAGAGGAATATACTTATTTACGATCTCTATAATTTATATATTATCTATATATTCAAACTTCAATAGTCTAGTATACCAAAGCGTTCATGTAGCAATACAAATTAATCCATGTGGTTCTTAATCCTTTTAGTATGCATCTATAATTTACTGGCAAAAAAATTTATTTTGATTTCATATTTATAACATCTATATATATATATATGTATTAATACAAATACAAAAATTATATTTATTTATAAGATCCACATTGACGTGGCAATACATCATTGAAAGATCATAATACGAAAATGATTTATGTTTTACTCATTTTTACGATTTTAGTCTGCGACAATAGTAATAAATTTACACATAACTTTGTGTTAAATTTAAAATAACATTAAGTTAGACTAGAGAGGCAAAGAGCTTTTCGCATCAGCTTTTTTGTCGACGAAACTTCCATCCTTTCGCTCCTATATTATGTTCAGATAAATCTTGTTTGAATACAAACGAAATACGTCCAAGAAGGACTTAAATAGTTCACGTATTTGGGGCAGCTGTGAACATTCTGCATTTAAATTTCTATTTCGCGTGCGATTTAAAGGTGAAATGCTGCTAAAAAATAATTTTTGTAGTTTATATTATCTAGAAGATAGCGACACAAAAGTGTAGTCTGTGATTACACATTGTATTGTCAAAACCTATCTATTATCATTTATACCCACATATATAAATCAGGATTCCCTAAACTATAGTGCAATTTGGCATAGATCCTTAACAAAAAATATATAAATTATCGTGAAATAATTGAATAATTGCAAATATTTGCACAGTTTCAGAAATATATTCTTTCAATATATGTATTATTATAGTTACGATATAATTATGTTATAGTTGTGATGAAGCAATTATAAGTCGCTTCTCAAAAAATAGCAAGATCGACTTTAGACCGTGAACTAATTTAAGTTTGGGAAATCCTGTGATATGTACTCCTAGAGTAAATATGGTATTAATATATTACACAAAATTACACGCTAATGTATATAAAATTATAACACTTTCGGCTGATTTTATTATTGGTACTAACATACACTATCCAGTAGACAAATAATAAATAAATATAAATAAATAAACAAAGAACAATAAGCTCCGAATATTTTTCATGAGCTTTCTTTAGAAATATACTTTATAACTAGCGACAAATAGGGCATTAGTTTGTAAGTTGTGTAACGTTTCATCTATATAAATAAAGTGTATAAACAATTTCTTCCCTAATTATATAATTATATATTTTTTTATAAGAGAGTATTTAACATGCCCTCAACCGAGTAGTTAGTTTCCGGTTTTTTTTTTATACTTCCATTTCTTTTTTCCTTTACTTAGGCACCGATGACCTTGTGTGTTATCGTAATGCATATAAATGACTTTTAAAAAAAACGTTAAGTGTGCACAGCGATAGTCCATAGTCCATGAATGTGTGTACAACTTTCCAATCCATTCAAAGCAATCTTTGGACTGATATCTTTTTATAGTGACCAATAACGATCTATAAGATATACCAAACGACGTATTATATTTTTTATATTCTTATACATTTTTAACGGAAGAAAACTGGTAGTGATCGAATAAAAATAAGAGGTTATAAATTTTTAATTGTTCCAAATAAGTTCTTTCATTATGGCGCATACAGATTCCTTTATCTTGATCACTTTGAATAATGGAATACAAAAAGTGGTGCTCAATAAGCCTGCCAGGAAGAATGCACTTTCGGTTCCGGTATACACAAATATATATAATTCCTAAACCATATAATAAAGTATAAATAACATAAATAATTGCACATTGATTTCTTATCCACAGATGTACAAGGAGTTAACGATACTTTTGAACGAATCCGCCAAAAACAATGAAGTATTGACATTTGTGTTGACAGCAAACGGAGATTTCTTTAGCAGTGGCAATGACATAGGTACTACTATGACAATGGATGCGATTTTGATAGTGAAGTAAGAGCAGTATTATGTGAAAATTTATATATAATACATCCCTATAAATATAGCAAATAAATTCATATAAATATATATTGCAGGGACTTTATTGATGCAATAATTATGTATCCGAAACTTTTGATAGCTATTGTAAATGGACCAGCAATAGGAATAGCATCCACAATATTAGGGATCTTCGATATAGTATATGCTTCAGACAAGGTATTTAAATAACTTACATTCGACATAATATATTGAAACAATTTTTTAGATAAGTTAATATATGATATATGATTTTTGAATATATATGAATATATTATATTATTATACTATTGTTGAATATATTATATTATGTATAATTGTAGGCATATTTTCAAACACCATTTAGTTCTTTGGGTCTCGTTGCTGAAGGATGTTCTACATATACATTCCCCAGATTATTGGGATCTTCCAAAGTATAACACATATTTCATTGCAAATTATTATTAAAATTATGTGTGCAACTATTCTTTTTATAAAAATACTAGGATAAAGAGAGAGAATAATATTTCAATATTATATATGTAAATATATTTAGGCTGGAGATATGTTGTATCTGGGCTATAAAATGAATGCTCAAGAAGCTAAGAAATATGGATTGGTTAGCAAAGTATATAATCATGACTCTCTTGAAGAAGTGTGGGACTATTTGAACAATATATCTAAACTTTCTTCAGAGGTATTATTCTTGCTTATAATGCTTTTTGCAAAACTATTTATGCTGCAAAATCATAATAATGAAACTAATAGAATATATATTTACTAATTTCAGTCAATATTGGCAACAAAGCGATTGGTGAGTAGGTGGAATAGGGAGATATTATTAAAAGTTAATGCAGAAGAAATAAAAGAATTGGAAAAACGGTTTGGGTCTCCTGATGTAGTCGAAAGATTTATAAATTTCTTATCACGAAAAAATAAGCTTTAAAATAACAATTAAAATTAGATAATATAATAATTATAATTTTTCACTTATCAATTTCTTATTCAGTTGATTTAATAATAAAAATATAATTTTTTAATCTTTAATTAGTTTGTGTATGTTGCATTGTAGAATTTCTAAATATAAATGTTATATAATCGCCTGCTTCTGTTAACATAATGTCCTGTAAATTTATATATTTTTATATATATATAAACACTAAGTTTTGAACTTAATTTTTACTTGTTTCTAATAATTTATACAATTTATTACCTGCATAATGTCAAGTGGAATTGGCTGTTTATAATGTCGCCAATCTCGAAGCTGATTTATAGTTAAATTTTGTTGAGATGGTTTATCATCTGATATAAATTGATAATCTTCCGTCTCATTATCGTTCATTGTTGATTCTTCAGAAGACGATATACGTCCGTTGTCCTGACCAGAGCAAGAGCAATTCAATAAATCGTGTGTTAATGAAACTGTATCAGTTGTCAGTGTAAATAGATCCTAAGAAAGGGAAAATATTTCGAGTAATGACTTTTGGATAAATATCACCAAAGTTCTTTTTTTTAAATAAAAGTACCTTTAGTTCTGCAGTTGACAATTTTAAAGATCCAAGATGATTCAGATCCACTACAGACTCACTCAGACTAGCTTTGCTAATTTGCCTTTGGTATATCTTTTCTTCTATTGTACCTGTTGTCAATAATCTACAAATTTTTGTTTACATACAGGATTGCATATTTTTATTAAATAATATATTGATATATATTGGCATTATGATATTTATTTATGCTTACAAACCTATAAATATAAACATCCTTCTTTTGTCCGTCTCTCCAAATCCTTGCCATAGCTTGCACATCAGACGCGGGATTCCAATCAGAATCAAATAACACAAGTCTGGATGCTCCAGGTAAATTCAAACCAACACCACCTGCCTTGGCACTTAGCAAGAGGACTTCTGCAAACATTATTTTGGTGAAATAACTGCTCAATTATTATCAAGATATATTACAATTTTTGTAGAACTTACTGTTATTATCTGATCGTGTATTAAATTGCTCGATTACTTTTGATCGTGTAGAACATGAAGTAGTGCCATCCAATCTTAAGAATTTTAATTCCTCTATACCACATATAGTTTCAAAAAGATCAAGTGTCTGTGTATAGTACGAAACTAATACTAATTTCTCGTCGGTTTTTTTCAAATTTCTCATCAATACTTGTAGAATTGTGATCTTTCCACAATATTTTATAAAATTCTTATCCTGTTTCAATTGCATTGTACATATTGCCTTTGACAAAGTTTTGCATAGCTCATTCTCTTTGTCATTTATGAACAAATTTGGATGATTACAAATTTTTTTAAGAGCAATAATAATAGACAAATGTGTATGACTTTTATCTTGTAGACAAATTTTGTTGAACCAAGCATCGGTAACAAGAGAATACAAATCCATCTGCTCGCTGGTTAAAGAGCAAAACAAAACTATTTCGTATTTACATGGCAGATATTTGTTTATTATGTTTTGTGTACGTCTCAAAATAAAAGATTTGGTGCGCTCATGTAATTCCGTGGCTCTTTCAGATCCCAGACTGACGACGTTCTCATCAGCATTAGGGCATTGAGATGCAACAATAAGATCTTCATAATAATTTTTATATTCGAGAGGAGAGCCAAGAATGCCAGGATTAACAAAATCGACTAATGTATAAAATTCTTTCAAATCATTCTGTATAGGAGTACCGGTTAACATAATCCGATTTTTACAATTAATCTCGCGTAACAGCTAAAAAACATGCACATAATGATGCATAAATCTACATGTATTTACACTTCTATAAAAATATGTAAATCAAATGGTGATTACTTTTCCCGCTTTTATGCTGCTATTTTTCAGCCTGTGGCCTTCATCGCACACAAGTAAATCAAAGGTAATCTTACTAATTTCCATATAACATTTGATGAGCATTTCATAGCTAATAATCAATACTGAATTTTTGGGATGCTTGATAAAATCTTTAGGTCTATTTTTTCCATCTACAACATATGGAGATATTCTGTGACTGCCTAACCATTTTGTGAATTCTTTGTCCCAATTGTTGCACAAACTGCGAGGTGTTATTATCAACACACGTCTCACGATCGGTTTGCCATATGGACCCTTCTTTAACATTGTCCAAATTAATGTAATACATTGTAAGGTTTTGCCAAGGCCCATCTCATCTGCCAAAATTGCACCAAAATAATCTGGCACTCTTAGCCCCATTAAGCATTCATAAAGAAATACAATTCCATAACGCTGATGTTCTCTAAGCTTTGCTACTAAACAGAAATCCACTGAGACTTCTTGCTCCTCATGGCTTACACATGCAGAAGAACTCATATATGGCATCACTAAGGGCTCACAATTCATTACTAGTCCTTCAATATAAATAAATATTAATATCTGAGAGTTTATAATGCACTTAATTTTTCATTCTTTTATAAATATGTAGAACCTTTTGTAATTGCATTTGTTGAGGCTTCAATTTTTTCTTGTACCACTTTTTCTACAGTTTCCTCAAAATGCTTCTCTTGTGATACTTGATCTATAATCTAAAATCAACTTTGTCAGATTTTTGCATATAACATTGCATGGATAAACATTGATATAGACTCTTACCTCAATTTGCTTATTTCCAATAATTAATCTGGAACCTTCTACTGCATTACTCGGATTAATTGCTTTTTTTCCCAGAACTTTCCCATCTAAATCCTATTATATCAAAAATATTAAAAACAATTTTCAAGTTAAAAATTTATAATTGCTTTAGTTATACCTTAAGAATTGCGCTTTCTCCAGTTACTTCCAGCAAACCGTCACCATCCCATGTTTTGTACTTCTTTGAAGTTATTTGGCCATACATTACGTTGAAGATGCTATTAATATTTATTTATTGGTACACATAATAATTAAAAATTAAATTATTTTAATATTTACTTTTCAAAAATACTTACATTTTTGATATGTTTGCTGGAGATAAATTTACAGTAGATGCTTCCTTTTTGTAAACTGATGCATCAGCATCTTCTTTTTTTGGCAAAATAGATATATATCCAGTAGATGCCTTAAACTTTTTTTGTGGTTGTTCTTCTATTCTTTCTTTGTAATACTCTTCTGATATAGATAACTCTTGTGACATCTGATCTTTAATCTAAAAAATTTTATCAGATTTTTTACATATATAATACTTTATAAATATAAGTATTTAATACACAAATCACTTTTACCTCAATTTGCTTATTTCCAATATTTAATATCGAACCTTCTTCCACTGTATCACTTGAATTGATTGTTTTTCTTCCTATAACTTTGCCATCCAAATCCTACCATAAAATAAATCCTATTATCAAAAATATTAAAACATGTATCTTTCTGAGTTATAAAATTTACAACTGATATACTAATTACCTTAAGAATTGCGTTTTTCCCAGTTACTTCCAGGAAACCGTCGCTATCCCATGTTTTGTGTTTTTTCGAAGTTACTCTGCCATACATCACATTGAAAATTCTACAAGGGATATTAATATTTATTATTTGTAAAAGAAACAGATCAAAATTAATGGCTTAATATATATTTTTAATATACTTGCATTTTCGGTTTTGTTTGCGGCAAATCAATAATTGAAGTATTCTTCTCGTGAACCGATGCACTGGCATCTTGTTTCTTCGGGGCATTATTTTCTATTTCAACGTTATCGTGAGTGACCTCATTCTCTATATTTCCTTTTTCGAAAATGCTTAAAAGCTGCGCGTTACTTCTAAGAGATTTTCTCGAATCGCTCGCTGCTTCTTGTTGACTCGCGTTTACCTTACTTTCTTCGACATTCGTTCGGGATTGAGCAATTAAAGGGGATATAAATCCCTTCACCGATTTGTTCCGATACATTAGTAAATCAATGTTTAATGATCATCCAAATACGATGATTCAACAACCGAATCTTGTTTGAAGGCGGGAATCAACATAAATCGAACTTGCATAATGGCGGCATATCGAATCGCTGATTGTGCATTGAAGTAAATAATAATAGATGGTCGGACTTGGCATTACAAATGTTTCGAAGAAATCTTTGTCTTTTTTGTCCTGATTGGTCAATCAATTGCTTTCAAGTACTATTTTCACAGTAGAATCCTAGATTATAATTAAGACGACCCAAGACCACACTTAAGACGATCTTGGATATAAGAATGGACTATGAATACCGGCCTAGGACTCTATTTCACAGTAGGAGCCATCAAATCACCATGCATCTGCGCGAACGCAGTTGCGCACGCGAATTGTCATCTGCGCGTGCCGTCACGTGGCCGCGTGTCGCATGTTGGACGCGTGATTGGTCGTTCCTCTGTTGACACGCCAATCGTGTTCGTTACAGTCGCGTGAGTAACTGTGATGTGTTATCTCGCTCGCGGTGCAGCAGCCGCGATCCGTCGTGGGATTCAAATGCGTGTCAGTAATAATAATCGCGTGAAACGTAATGCGCGAGTGGGTGTGTGCCGATTAAGTTTGCCGTCACGTATGCGGTCCCGCAAACGACGAAAGTCTCACGGCAATATGTGAGTAAATCTTCAAGTGGCGCAAATATTGGGGAGATGTATATCCGTAATTCTTACTATGGTTCCGTGATTATTAGGGCATCGCTTTCTACAATTTTTCCGAGTCGCGATCGTGTCTTTGAGTCCATCCTTTTTAGGGAATGACATACATTTCGACGTCTCGATTTCACAATTGAATTGGGCGCTGTTCGGGAACGTTCTTCTGTAATGAATGATGTAACTCACGACGATTTGGGAAATTACATAAATGTTGATTTTATTCCAGCAAGACGAGATAGTTAATGTTTCATCTTCACAGATGCTGCTGTACCGATGGAGATATTTCAAAGTTAATGAATTTTGCTATAAATGATGTGATTTGACAATATCTTTATTTTTTGCTAAACTCTTATTTCAAGATGCACTTTTCTATACCTGATACTCAGGAATTTGCCGAAGGAGCTGGGAATGCATATGTTGTAATTATATTTATAAAATATTTTGTTTATTGTATATAGTGTATTTCACTATTTGTATAATACTTGGCATCTTTTCTCTAGGGTTACAATATTCATATCAATGGATTATTTCACTGTACTGTGAGATATAAACAGCTGTATAATTTGCATGTACAACTCTCTAAGGATCTTGACATGTCTTTGCCTATATTTCCTCCAAAGAAGTTTTTTCCTTTGACACCTAATCAACAAGAGGAGCGACGGCTAGCTTTGGAAAAATATATTCAGTCAATTGGTCAAAACGTAGCCATAAACAATTCTGAGATATTAAATGGCTTTTTATTAAATGCTCAACAAGAAACTGTTGGTGATTTGTCTGAGACTGAGACTGAAACTTTAGATATATTTCTCATGAATGGATCAAAAATCTCATTAAATGTTTCCACAAGAGAATATTCTGGTGAAATTTTGAAGGTATGTTTTATCATTAATAATTTATATATATATATAAAAATATTTTTTTTTCTAGGTACATGATTATTTCTAGGTATATGATAATTATTTAAATACTTCCATTTTCTTTTTCTCTTTATAGAAAGTATATGAAAATATACAGTTACTAGAAAAATATCATTCCCATTTTGCCCTATTTATTATTATACAAGATGAATTGTCGGGTAATATTAAAAGTGAGTGTATGTTTTTATGATATTCTATTAATACATATACATACTTTCTTTTCTTTTTTTATTAAAATATGTATTGTGTCTTCAGTATTGCGGAAATTACAAGATTTTGAGTCACCTTTTATAACATACAAATATATGAGTTCTATGGGTACAAAAATTGTTCTCAGAAAAAGTTATTGGGATACAACGTACGATCTTGAGTTATTGAATGATCCAGTGACTCTGAATTTACTATATGTCCAAACAGCTGCAGAAATTCGCAGCGGGTGGATACTGACTAATAAGGATGTGCAGTATCATTTAGAGAACATGCAAAAATCCGGAAACAGAAAAGAAGTATGTTTATTGTAAAAAAACCAATAACATTTTTGAGTGATTTATTGTGCATGTTTATTATTTCAGTACTTGAATATAGCTCGTTATTTAAAATATTATGGCTACATACAATTTGCACCATGCTATTGTGATTATCCTCAACATGGTTCAAAAATATTACTTGCTATAGGTGGAAATGAATTAAATTTACGCATTTTATCATCCAAAGAACACGAAATTATATTTAAAGTTTCGCGAATGCGATGTTGGCGTATTACTACGATACAAAATGTAAGTATATTATGAATAATTTAATGAGAAAACTTGTTGGTTCATTAAATTATGAATTGTTAATGAATTCATTTAGGGAATGGACCATCCTGAGGATAACAACGAGTGCAGTCTGGAATTATCTTTCGAATATCTAATTGCTAGGAACGAATTGCAATGGATTACGATTGTTTCGGAGCAAGCGATTTTAATGTCTGTTTGTCTGCAAGCCATGATTGACGAGTTGTTACAAAAATGTGTAGTGGGCAGCAGAATTCAGGTTGTTATATAAATCATTTCAGCTTATACAAATGCTTAATCCATTCTTGTAATCTTAAATACATGATATTTGCAGGTAGAATCTGGAAAATCTTGGACATATATTACAAGGGACGGCCAGAGTCGTATCACCATGGGATCGCCATTGCGAGAATGTGCCAATAATAATCATTCGTCTAAATCGGGACCAATTATAAAGAAACTCGCTAGTAAATGGTCGGCTGTGACATCAAAAAAATCGGATGAGTCAGTTGTCGATAAAACCCTTGCAACGTGCACAACAGCTGATTTTGATATTGTGGAAAATAATGTTTTTCGTATGATAGGAGATGATGATTTATAAGCTTAATTATTTTTTAATGAAGATTGAAACATAAGCGCAGTGATAAAAAAAATAACAGGGTATGCCTTATCTAAACAATCTTTCCAGAGATATATTTTGTAATACCTACAAGTCAGTGTAACGGTTTCCAATTTAAAATTAACAATTAGTGACTCTCAAGGCTGATTAATTATTGAACTATGCTTTGAACTATATTTGGTGTCTTCTGTATCAATATGTGATTAAAAAATGCATTTATATTTATTGATAACTTTACATAAAATATTCATTATACTTTTATATACCGTCCAATTACAATAATAATCAATCTGATGCAAGTTGAAAATTAACTTGAGCCAAAACTATGCTTGAATTACAAGCGTAATATTCTGTATGAAGTACTTAATGATAGAATTAATATATAATATTAGAATTTATATATATATATATATATATTTTGCATATTGTTTTATCATTGTTAAACAAACTTATTTAAAAAGCAGTACATCAATACTTGCTTTCATAATTATCTTAAACAAAACTATCAATAATATATCTCGTTTTAAAGTGTCAAATAGCAATCATTCTATATGTGGTGTATTATCTTCTATTATTTATCTGATTATAGTTATTTCTGCTAAATCATTCACTCAAAAAACATATTTTTCTGCCTTCAGTCGCTATATTTCAGCCAAACACTGTAAATGTGTAAATAGATTGTACAATACACAATATACGAATGTAAAATCATAGTGTTGTCATAAAACTGTCCTGATTAACACATATATATATACATATATATATACATACATACATACATACATACATATACACACACATATATATATATAAATTGTCCTATTAAATATGTAAATATAAATCCCCGTATGAAGAGTAGTGATTGCTCTAAAGCTAAATGACTGACAATCGTATAGAAAATGCATTATATGTGTGTGCTCCTTTGTAATACTTTTGCTTTAACTTCTTTGTTCTTGTTGTCCGATTCCAAAATACATAGTGCATAATGTTAGCAGATATAAGTTAAAGAAATGTATAAGTTATAAAGAGGATTTTACAGTAACATGAATTGTAAAAATATAAAATTTATAAATTGACATGTATTTGTAAACTTTTACAAATTCATAATTTTATATAAGAATGAAATTTGTTTTTTTTTTTTTTTTACTTTCATATTCTGATGCATTGTATATTTGGATCATAAAATGAATATAATAAAATATGATTACGATTTTAACATACATATTAAAAAGATCGAACATATACGAGTATTTAAATTATCTAAAAAAGAATTCGAAAAGATTTTTAATGTGTATATAATACATGTGTTTCATATAAAATAATTTAGAGTATAATGTTGTTTGTGGAGCAATTTAATTATTTTTCGCTTGAAATCTCGTTAGTATTACATGATCAAGATTATGGATAATATATGCCTCAAACTCGGACCTTATTTCGCTGACAATGTGCATATTTTCTATATCAAAAATATGTTGTTATTCTGTCTTATTATCTTCTAGAAAAGAAAATTAAGGTCAGTTCTAGCTATAGTATTTAAGTATAATTCTATTTCCGCGCTACGTGCAAAATAGCCCAACGTCAGCAAGGAATTACTCCACTACAGTTACTTGCCATATATATGTATTAATGGCACATACAAATATATCCGTTTTGCGACTAATAATAAAAAAAATATGCAGTGAATAATTTTAATGCTTTATACTTTATACATATAAAATGATTATTGTAAGGCGTTATACTATACGATTCTAAAAATACCATTATTATTAGAGTGGAATCTGATAAATTTCAGTTTCAACAATTTCCATATTACAATAAACTAAATTAGAGCATACTGGGAATACTTTCTAATACGGAAGACTAATACTAGTAAGTTCCTTTATGATATATTTCATTATAATGCAGCATTATTTTTACCACGGCACTGCATATCACGAAGAATACTATGTTATTTTAGAATTATGTGATCATGTTATGGTGCTTGCAATTCGAAAAATAAATCTGATTATTTAAAAAAAATTGATATAAACTAGAATTAGTATACAAACGAGAAGAGAGAGAGAGAGAGAGAGAGCCTATCTATGGCAGTAGAATAAAAAGTAAATTAAATCTTACAGCCTTGTTTGCTTATTTCAAATTGTCATGATTAGATATATAGGACATTCACATTCAAAATCGTTCAAATGCTTGGGCGTTTAAGTGCATTTCGTGAATGCATTTCACACAAATGATCTTTTTAACGCACTATTCCGAGTAAAATGGCATTGCAGATGACTAGCTAGCATGTGACGATACGATTTTCACATATGTAATATAAAATTTCTTTCTTGATAAAAACGATTGTAATCATGATGCCTTTCTCTTGTAATCCTATTGCATTCTTTTTTATTTTCTAACGACCTTATAAGGGTCTTATAATATTTCTATAAGAATAGGATATATTTAACAGTATAGATATAAACATAATACAAAAATTAAGTATAGTGATTGTTTCTTCACCTAAATCATGTAAAATAATTTACATTGATGACGTGAGGCTATTAGCTATTACTAGCTATAATATCCCAGGTTCATAAAGAAAAGCAACATTGTGATTTGCGAGTAAACAGGAAACATTCAACGATCGCTACATGTTTCTGTCCATTTATGAGGTAAACGTTCACGGAGCGTGAGAACAATGTTCTTCTCTTTAATGAAACCAGGGATGACGCGAATAAAATCTATCCATTTTATACAACTGTACATCCTTTATCTATCCCATTGTTGTCACTTATTTGCATGGAGAAGAAAACCAACTCTGTTAGAAATTCTGTTGACGTTTCCGTTTAGTGTCCATGGCATCGAGAATAGGTTGTCTCTTCGTTTGATACCTTTTTCTTAGCTCATCGATCTCCCGTTCCATTTCTGCATCCAGACTAGCCATTCGTTGCTGCAGTTCCTCGTAGGAGAGAAACTTCAGCTGCAGGATATGGTTGTTTCTCTATATATATATTCAAGTTTTCTTTTTTTATAATGCCTAAAGTGGCATTACTCCATAAAATTTGGTGGAAAGAATGCGATTTAAATCTTATTACAAAATGGAGAAGAATGATTCGTTCTCTTAGGGTTGATTATGTTATCAATAACATATAAATATTAATTATTATATAAATGAAATAGGAAAAAGTTTTACTTACAAACTCGAAATCACGTTCTGAGAAGACGTTTTGGAACTTTGATATGTTGTTATGAGGCTGTTCTGGCACAGGATGAGATATCTGATTCTGTAACTGTAGTTGCAGATGACTTTGAAACCTTTGAGATTCGGTTGGACTTTGAAGCTCCAATCTGTTTGAATTCTCTGAATTTTGTGCTCCCAACATTTGTCCATTACCCTGTGCAATAGTATTATTTGATATTTCTGAGTAATTATGCCTAAATATAGTTTTAAATACATATCAAGTATAAAAAGATTACCTTTCCAATTTCAGGTGCTTCTTTCTTATCAAAATGATCTAAAAATAATGGCCGATATTTCTTGCCGGATTCCACAGAACCAGTATTATGTCCTGAAAGAAACATTAAAATTAGTCGTGTATTATTATTATAAACTGGAATCTCTTTCGATATAATCAAGATTAATAATCAAGAGCTACTAACTCTTCATGGTAGCTTCGGTATCTGTATCGCTATTGATAACCATTGTACCCAAGTCCAATATTGCCGAAACTAAAGTACCCGTGTCTGGAAGATCATGGCTCGGCACTAAAGTCCTACTATCCTCTGGTAATGGTTTCATAGTTCCACTGCAATCGTCCTCATCCTTACAACAGGAATATGTCATTATATATGTATATGTACATATATATTAATTTTGTATAAACTAATCTTAAATAATTACCGAATCTTCCGTCTGATTCTGACTTTTAATCGCCACATTGTTTATGACATGAGCTCTATGCGCGCTTTGCTTCTCTCGTATTTCATGAGCCTCAGCAATCATTTGACTCAAAATACTTGGTTGTTTAGCATTACCTGCAATCACATGTTAATTAATAAGATGTTATAATATAAATTCTATCTCTTTGATCTTTTATTTACCTATGAATTCGTGCTGTAGAAGCTCGGTCGCAGTGGCTCTTTCTTCGGGATTTTTTACAAGGCACCCACTGACAAAGTCGATAAATTCTGGACTCCATTGATCAGGTTCTCTAAAACTAGGTGGTGGCTTAGTCGGAATCATAAATATTGCTCTCATTGGATGTATATCGCCGTATGGCGGCTTGCCCTCGGCCATCTCTAAGGCTGTTATTCCCAGAGACCATATATCAGCCACGCAATCGTAACCGATCTCCTGTATTACTTCTGGTGCCATCCAAAATGGTGTACCAATGACTGTGTTACGTTTAGCCATAGTATCCTGTAAGCATTTAGATTAGAAATTTGATTTCATTATAGATTTCTTCTTTAATTTGATGAAAAATTTCCTCCTGTAACTTACTGTTAATTGACCTGCTACACCAAAATCAGCCAATTTTGCATGGCCTTCATTATTAAGAAGAATATTTCCAGCCTTAATGTCCCTGTGAATTTTCCTTCTCAAGTGAAGATATTCCAATCCTTTCAGAGTATCGCTCAGGATAGTTGCAATTTCATCTTCCTGAAGGGTTTTCTTCCTTAACCTCATGATATCACTAACAGAACCAGCTCCGCAATATTCCATCACAATCTAAATGTTAAAATTATATATTAGCACATTTTTATTCAATCTATTTGAAATAGAATACGATGCACCAATTTACCCATAAATCTGTATTCTTAAAATAACTTCCATAATATTTAACAACATATGGAGAGTCACATTGTTGCATAATTGATATTTCTTTAATAATTTCCTGCAAGTCGGTATCGACAGGTACTTGTTTGATTGCCAGCACCTGCCCACTCTCCTTATGTAATGCTTTGTAAACTGATCCATAAGATCTGTAAAGAAGTACATATTTAGAAATAATAGAAAGATTTATCTTACCCCTTCCATCATAAATATTATTATAATTACCCTTCTCCTAGCTTGCATATAATATCAAACACTTCTTCCGGTTGTCTCGTCAGACTTTCCTCGGATAACTTTTTTAATTCACTAAAAAGAATAATAATAATAATAATAATAATATAATAATATATAGAAATATATTTCTTAGACTTAAATATCACATCTCAGATTCTGCTAGAAGTCGCGGAAGAATTTTTGTTCATTTTACTTTTGAGATTTATTTTTGGCACAAGATTTAACTGAATTACTTGGAGATCTCAGGAATTTAATCCATCCATTAAGTGGACAGTGTGTTTTTTTATTCCGGTTTAGGATTGAAAAAACTTGTTCATAATTTAGCAAGATTATTTCAACATATGAAAGATCTTAAGAAAAGGGTTATTCAAAATGATAAATAATTTTGAATAATCTTCGTTGCAGGTTAACAAAGAGACAAAGAGTTGAGTGGACTGTCACGGATTCGCGACTAATCGTTCGCCGCTAAAAATCCATTGCTGTCGCTGCTATAAATAATCTCTAAAAAGATAATTCGGCACGGAGTACCGGACGGTGCGTCGCCGAAAAAAAACGCAGAGTAAATACAATCGGATACCTCTTAGAAGACATCTTCGCGTCGATGTCAGATCGCGTGGAGATCTTGAATAAAAAAGAAGCACACGCGGTTATTTATAGAAAACGTTAGCAACATAAACGCGGGCGTCAAGTGATTATCATGCCGTGCGCGGGGGTAACATGGCCAATTAAAAATAGAGCCATTACATTTTTGTCAATAAATTAAAGTATAACCGCACAACTGAAATATCGAAAACCTTCGGCCATCATAGATGGTGCGGTCGACGAAGGGTTCGCGAACGCATTAAAATAGCACGCGGCGGCCCTCAGGTCCGTTTTACACCAACGATTTTTTTGAAGAACATCGAACGTAAATATCGCGGAATAAGAAAACTAGACGAAATATATGTACAATTCGCGATTATACCATCAAAATACAATATATATATTCCAAAATTTCAAAAATTATTTTTGTCCTCTAAGATGAATATTTATATAATATTCTTTTTATATATATCTATATTCTCTTTTGTAATAATAACGATTGAAATCATAAAAGATAAAGATACCAATTTTAAATATTAGGAAGAGATGTGAAGGTATAAGAGGACTCGCATAACAAAATCTTTTATTAATGTTCGAACAAAGAGGACATCACAGATGTATAATCAACAAGAGTAATCTAATTAATAATGACATCATGAATCATAACAGTAATTATATTTCCTCTTATTTCGATTTGGATTAAGTGAATCAATCTATTATCACATCGCAATTTAAAATCGCTTTTACGATTTTATGTGTATCTACTTTCTATTCATCAAAAAATCTTGTAAATTCTCGTATTCAAGAGATTTTTCAGAATGATTATCGATACATTTTTGTTAAATCAAATATCGACTCTTGAATGCCAGACAAAATAGCGATTAATATATATAGTCGAGGTATCTCAAGTACGAGTTCTTGGTAATTATAGCAATTGACAAAGACAAACAGAAATCTTTTCAAATTGCTACAATTTATATAGATGATACTTATTTATTCGAGAAGTATATAATACATCGATCTTATCAGCACACAATGAGAAAAGAAAACGTACTTTCTCGTGATGAGTAATACTCGATTTCCGTATTTCCGGCGCTCGCGACGCGTTTCTCTTCTTTACATCTAGACTACTACTCGTCTATGTGTGGAACGGACTGTGAAATTAACACTCTTGTCACAACGTGCTGGTTTGTCGCTAACAGTTTTCACTGTTTTTTTTTTTTTTTTGCGGTATTTGCCATATAATCCGTCCGCAAATTGTATCGCTATACACAGGGGCGCGTTAAAGACAAACGTCATTCGCGATTTCGCGCATTTTTGGCAATAAAATATATTAATCTGCTCAAGTTTGTAAATTAATAAATTTGCAAACGTAATGAAACGGGAAAAAAACAATTATGTGCATTACCCGAAAAAAAAAAAAAAAGATTGACCTACAAGTATGAAATCGGTATGGTTTGCGAACGTGAAATATTTCTCTCTTCTGTCACATGCTCTTATATTTAATTTCTGCAATATTACATGGTCTCTGTACCAAAAAAAGAAGTAGCGCTTATAAAATTCACTCACTTAAATGTAAAGATGTCCAAATAATCGGACTGTAAAATTCTCGAGAGAATCGCAATAAAAATTGTTAGCCGAAATGGCATTAAACTTCCTTTTTCAATGCCTGTTAAAGTTCAAAAAACAAAAAAATTCTACGAGATTTTAAACATCATGAACTTTACAGGGGCGAAGATTGCCCGAAAAGAAGGCACGATTGCCTTGATTGCAGTAAACGAAACAGTTTCGTTGTATATATCAAGAAATCATTACGTAACGGATTTCGAAGATCCTAGTCTTAAATCCAGACAATAAATCGCTGCTTTAAATTGCAAAATATGTCGGGAAGGATGTGAAATGTGTCTTCGTAATTGAAAAACCACGGAAACAATCGTACTAGTCTAGTTTATACAGTCGTAACGTTAAAATACGTCGTGGAATTCATTCTTAAACATCTTACTAACTTATAACATTATACTCCGGAATCAATTGAATTGTTTAATCGCACGGCCCATTTGCTTAAAACGTAAACGCTATTTTCTTCTCGCTCTAATTCGTTATCGGATATTAGTTAGAAAAAAAGAAAAAAAAAAGAAAGAAAGAAAGCGCGGTACCGGCGTTATACAATACAAAACGTAATATATCCGATATAAACGAATGAAAGGGAATGATCACGTGTAACGAAAATGAATAATTCAACTCCACTCTATAGGCAAGAACAAAGATAGCGGCCGTACGATTCGAAACAACTTTGTTACGCGAGAGAAAGGACGCGTAGACAGGTAAGCGTAGCAGGCCGCGAATTGTTCGCTCGAGTGTTACTTGATCGGTTTGCCCCAAGCAAACTGTATTCCCAGACGCGGGATATCGCTACCGGTGGACGACTCGTCTTCGCTGCTGGACGCCGACGTTTCCTCGGAGATCATCGCTTCGCCGCCGGCCTCCTGAGGCCTCTGACCGCCACCGATGCTGCACTCGTCCACTGCGGCCGCAGCGGCCGCCACCGCGGCGGCCACTGCGGGATTCACGGTTGGTGCCGCGGACGATGTGGAAGACGACGAAGATGACGAGGAGCAGGGCGACGATTGGTCCTTCCTAGGACGTCGTCGCGAGACTGGCGTCGAGCTGAATGTCGGCGACCATGCGGCAGCTTCATCCACCGCCGCGGTACGCGTTGAATCGCACGTAGTTGAGACACTCTTCGATCTCGCTCTGGTATCCATGGCGGGTGTTCTGTTCGACAATCTGAGCGACCCTTGCCTAGAAACTGTCGTTGCGCCCTCCGTGGGTCTACCTGCTTTCGTGCTGAGTGAGTCGGATGACGACCCTTTCGATAGATCATCGATTTCCAACGTCCAAGAGACGGAGGCGCCTTTTTCGACCATGAACTTCATCATTGATGACGAGTGAGCGCCGTTTTTTTCGGCCGAGAAACTATGTTCCATCTGTTCCGCGCCCGTGGACCGGGTTAGTCGCGGATTCAATTGATTTGCAAGAACGCTCACCCAGTCATTCTTGTTTCGCAACTTCCATTGTAATTCTTCGTTACGCTGCGACAGCCGTTTATTATGTTTCGAGACTTGATGAATCGATTCGTGAAGCATCTCGTTTTCGTGCGAGACCTGCCGCTCGAAGGACTCCTTCCGTTGAAGCTGGGCCTTCAGATCTTCGCATCTCGCTTCTGCCATATCGAGCCGTATCTGCAACGCATCCTTCTCTTCGATGTCGCGTCTGTAACTGTCGAGTTCAGATCGAAGGGCCGCATTCTCCTGACTTTTCAGCTCCAACACGGATCTTAAAGACTCGATCTCCGCCATTAGCGCGGCGCCTTGATCGTGAACTACGGATCTCCTCATCTCCTCCTTGCGAGCCAGCTCGTTGACCTGCTCGGCGCGTAATTTCGCGATTGTTGCGCGATGTTCCCTTGTGATTTCCTCCAGTCTGACATCGTACTTGCGCCTTTCCTCTTTCAGAGTCTCGACGAGCGCGGCAACTTGTTTCGCCCTATGAGCTTCCACTGGAAAACCAGAATGCTAACTTGAATGTTGTCATTTTTAATTTTGATGTATTACAGTAGTATTGTTAATTATCGTGTTTTATGTCGAAAATTTAATTAATTTCTATTAATAAATGATTATTTTACTACTAGTAGTATATTTTTTCCACTTGCTATTGAGAGAGTACTAATTTGTTACATGGATTTTCGTAAGTTACACACATGTCATCTGCAATTTTTAAATGGCTTTGAAATTACAAATTTTCACGAACAAAAAGTGTGTATCAAGTTTTTCCCAAATACTGTTTCAAGCATTTCACAAATTTCCGCAGTCCAATCGTTTAATGCACGTAACAAAAAAACACATGCTCATATCACTTTGCTAGTCGGCACATTGCACGCTGCATACTGATGTATCATAAATATACTTTTCTTAACGATAGACGTCAATATTACAAGCGTTTTGAGCCGTACAGCAACAATCTAAGAACTTTTAAATTGCACCTCGTGTATTCAATATTGTTTGCATGTTTTTTTCTTTTTTTGTTATATTCTTGTCTCATTTCATTTTTTGAAATGATTTATGTATTTATTTCTTAAACAAATGAAAATTGTCTGCTGTTTAGCATGTCTAATATTAAAAGAATTTTCCTGTTAATAAGTAAATAAATTAAATAATAATAAAAAAGATTTTCTACATTTTTTATTTCAATTTTATAATTTAATATAAATATATTTTGTCGCGGTATCAGCGCTTAAAGTTGAAAAGCTAAAGTATATACAAAGCTAAACGGAGAGCACGCATTGAATCTATAATTAGCAGGCATTGAAACGTTGAACGTTACGTGAGAACTAAATTAAGAACAAAATCCTTTTGCGCAGCGAGTGTTCAAAATATATCTTTTTAACAAAAGAAAAGAGTAGAAAGAAGAGAGGCAGGATTCGGCAGGACTAATCGCAAAGATTCGAGTTACGCGTAGGCACTGCTCAATCGTTCACTTTAATTAACAATTGTTCCACTTTATGCAGGCATGACTCGTGCACCGACATTAGGACGATTATACTCGTTTACACCACGTGAATAACACAGAGAATAATATCTACTGTTGTTAAGTTGATGCTTTATGCACGCTCGAATTTCTGTTTTGCGGCGCAAAACGCCGTGAAGAGTTTTTCTTTTTTTATTCGCGAACATTGCGTCATCGCGTGCTTTCAAAATATATATACGGCCCGCGAAAGATTTTTTAAATCTTTCTAAACGTAAAATAAATAGGTTTGTTGTATTACACTTACACTCGTCGCGAAGCTGGTCCAGATCTTTATTGTGATCCTCCCTCTCTGCTTCGAATCTCTCTTCCATATTGACACATCTCGCGCGTAAACCGTCGACCTCTGAAAGCATGGTCGATCGTTCGTTCTTCATCTTCTCGCAATCGATCTTCAACTTCTCGAAATCCTTCTTCAATTGGGGAGTAGCGAATGCATCCAGCTGAAAGACAGTGCTCCCATTAATTTGCGCAGATTTTTTTTTTATGTCAAGTGACAAACAACGAATATATAATAAACACGTACCTCAAAAGCCAAGTAGTGTACGCTCACCGCAAGCGCCTGCGCAGCCCTTTCGGCGCGAAAATCTTCATAAGGTACGGTGGTTTGCGCGGCCTGATCCCGCGTCTCCGGTGATGTCCTCACCGTATAGTTATTGTGATGAGCCTCCTTAGACTCACGATCTGTAATCAGCGTCGTCATCGGGCATCACCAAATTGATTACGTCCAAAAAACAAAACAAGAAAAAAAAAACAACACGCAAGTTTGTCGGCCAGACTGACCCACCCACTCTGACGTATCAATGAATCGGCCCACGTGCCGCCATCAATCTACATAAGTATCTCGATCGCATGTAATGTACATGGACTTCGCACTTCTGTCCTCTATTGTTCGTGACTTCTCGGGGAGGTCAATGTATAATTCCGAGGACAAGAAATCATTTTTACGTCCGTTTGCTTAAGTCTCGATTTAATCGCACATACAGTTCTGTGTGTATGAGAGTTTGATGAGGAAAAAGTCGATGGAAAACAACTTGGAAAGTCGAAATACTCGTTCTATCTTTGTCCGACTTAATTTCCTGTCAGGACTTTGACAGGTGACACACATACACATATACATAGAGAAATCGCGGCTTATTGAACAAGCGGAACAGCCGTGATTTCGCGGTAGTTTACGTCACATCCTGTTTTACAAGACTCGTAGAACGGATCTCTCTCTTCAAGAATCAAAGCACACGAATATCATCCAAGTTCGTCGTTGAATGAGAAGACATCGCGGGTTAAGGTCAACTGTGTGCAATGCACAGTCCCAATTGCGGAATTGCCAAAAGACGCCTCGGCGACTACGCTCCGTGTCCGTGAATTGTGGCCAAGAAAATTCGCTTCCTATACGTCTCTCCTGGTACCTGATACCCCTTCCATCATGCTTCGCTACGTCAGAAAAACTCAGGTATTTTGGGAACGGATCTACGTAGCACGCATGTCAGCAAATTTATCATTAACTGCGCGACGTAAACAGATTCGGACATTGGTTCAATGATTACGATATCCTTGACGAACGATTATACAATTGGCGAATCCGCGGCATTTGAACGCCGGAACGACGTTTGTCAACCACCTTCAACGATAAGAATAATGTTCGATTCGTCCTCTATTAGATCTCAACGATAAACATTCCGCGCGCAATCTTCTAATCAGTATCGTCATTCGTAACAATCTGCTGGCCGAGTTCGCGCTTCGACTGAATTAGCACGAGCCACGGGCTACCTCAGAGAGCTGTATATGCCTCTCCCACCCCATGTCCCCCGTTCCGCCTTACCGTCTCTTCCTAAACACTCCCCTACCCTACGCAAGGTGGAATCGCCAAGAGATTAAAAAACGCTAAAAGCGTAGATGGACAACGCAATTTTTCCCCACGCGAATTCTTTCTACGAGAAGCAAACCTTCCCGGAAAAGAGGTTTTTCTTGCGAAAAAAAAAACCGTTAGACCTGAGAAAATGACGTTTCTAGTTCTTATGCGTTCCGATGCGCCTAAGGAAAATCTACCTACTTATTGTAGAGAGTTTTCCAGCAAGAAAACAGACACGATGTCACGCAATTGGTTATCAAATAAAAAAATTTTGAAGTCTCAAAAATTCTGCTATTTGACAGTTAATCGTGTGACATTGTCTATATATGTTTCTTGCTGGAAAGCTCCCTTAATTAACGAGCTAAACTGAAGCCCCTGGTTACAATCTTCTCTCTAGCAAAATTCTCGCAATTGTATACTTCCGGCGTCCTTGGAACCGCCGCGCGTCGAATAACTCGGGTTTTCCAATTTGGAATCGACCGCCCTTAGATGGGAGGGAATGAGCGCGTGTTCGTGCTTACTTACGGTCGTCGAGCATCGGCGTGTACGAAACGTCTCTTACGTCAGAATGAATGCTGAACGTGCAAGAACGACGAATGCAATCGCGACGATTATCCCTTCAAATACAACGCGTCCTTTCAAGCTCTACTCTTTACTTCACACAACAGAGATCGTTGAACTCGCATAAACTGCTTTCGCTATATTCCCTATTATTCAGAACGAATACCGGATCTTGATAAGGATCTCTCTCTCTCTTTCTCTCTCCTTTTCTCTTTCGCGGCGATAGATTGGAGTCTAGACTAGGTCAAAGTGCCGGTAAATTTTTGACAAGAAAGGAAAGCACCGAGAGAGGCGCCGGGTAAACAGGTTGTTGAGTTTTTAGTGCCAGGGATTATTGAGTGAAAGCTGTGACTTTCTTCCAAACGACAAGAAGACTCGTACGGACCGATATGCACGCGTGTACGTACATATGTACATACAATAGGTAAGGAACGAGTGATGCATTATTGCACTGGGTAAATTAAATGTACTTGACTGAATATGAGTCTACATGCGTATGTGTGTGTTGTGGAATAATCGTGGGAAGTTTTTAGAAACTAATTGCTGTGTATTAAAGTAACACGGTTAATGGATTATTGAAAAGCACAATGTGTGAATATTAACTTGATTCTGTTGTTTGCAAAATGCAAACAACAGGCGAATGTAACGGAACAACGCCGATCCCTTAATGTATTGTATTTTAATTGGCGGAGGAATTTGCTCGACGAACAATCGTACGTACCTTTTATTGACGGAGTGGAGGATTTCTGTTTTACTGTAGCGTTAGCCGCTAATCTCCTTGTTATCGCCGGCTTTCGCGCTGACGGTGGGCTCTTCTCTGTAAAGAGAATGTGTTGCGTTAACGAGAGCATGTTAAGCACTAACCGGTAGTACTTGCGAGTTCGCGTACCGGCGAGCGTACGAGTACCGTACGGCGAGAACCGTTTTATCGCCTGTGCGAGATAAGGAAAGTTCAAGTATAAATATACCTACATGTATATACAGAATATTCTATATGGATAGTTTACAGATCGTATTACCTGTAAAAAAAAAAATAAGCATCTTTTTCCTTTGGCAAAATTTTCGGAAATGCACCGTTTTCGAGATCTCATTTTTTAAATATGCCAATACGGTGCATTTATTAGTTCTTAATTTTTCGCATAAAAATTTTGGTAATTTTATTATAATTAAGTCTAATATTTACATTTTTTATAATAAAACACTTGAAGAAATTTTATTTGAGCTGACAAAGAAAAGTTGATAAATTCCTTTTTATTGCAACAAAATGTGGTTTACGTCTCTAATATAAACAAAGTTAAATAGAATAATTAATACCTCTGTACACGATGTTAATTTTAGACTTAATTATTAAAAAATTATCGAAATTTTTATACCAAAAAATCATTCACACGAAGGATCAAGAAATAAATGCACTTGTGTCTATGTAAAAAAAAATTAAATCTCGAAATCTCTAAAAAAATATTAAAAGAAATATCTTGGAAACGTTGCATTTCCGGAAAATTTGCTAAAGATGTAATGATTACAAATGGATCTATATAGATTCAGCGCTTTGTAAAAAGTCTACGACATATATACAATTTACCGCGAGTTCAAAATCGATTCACGCACAGCTGGATAAAAATTCAGATCATTCTAATGAATACAATTAACATGCGCGCGGACGGAGAAACAAAATACCGTTAAAACTCCGACCTATGTAAAAAAAGATAGGTCTAAGAAATTAAATCTTTGAATAATTATTTGCACAAATATCTTGAGGCTTTCAATGGCAAATCGCGTCAAATGGTCAAATCCTCTACGAGAATTTCTCCGTTCCGTCTTTATCTTGAGGGAAAGTAGCAAAGCGAGAATATAATCTAAACTGGATTGTCCAGCTGACAGTATAATGACGACCGCACACTGCTCTTTTCCATCGTTTGCTTAATAAGAAAAAGTGAAATTTTCGAAAATATTCTAATGCGTGCTATTTAATACGCAGCTTTAATATTTTATGAATCCGCAAACCGGTAGATGCAGTTACAGTTTGGTCAAGTTAGTCTTAGGGATAAGAGACGGCTCTCTCTTTTCAGCGTGTCGCTCGTCATGGTAGTGGAGCTCTGGCCGGAAATACGCGACGGTGCTCTCGTTCCTCTCCGCTCTCTCCCGTTCCCCCCGCCCCCAATTGATTATTAGGGCGATATTATATACGCACGGATGTAGTTATCTAATAATCTCGAATGTCAATATGTGGCAAGTACATATATTTACCGAGTTCGACCGTCGTCACATCGATGCAGTTCTTTTTCGCGTCGAAACTATTTACACGGACTTGATGATGATTAGTGTGGCCGTTCGAGACGAATCTCCTGGGTGGATTGGTGGACGTCGGCGATCTCTCTGAAAATAACGCGCGATATGAAATTAAATGCGTACTTTCTTCAAGGAAAAACAAGATTGCACAGATTAAATGAATGGCAGAAATAAACGCGACAGATGGTCTTTCTCGATTCAACTACAACGACGCAGGCCGGAAGAATCACCGTTACGCGATCAAATCATTCCCTACTACCTCGTTTGAAGCTGCCTAAGCGCATCTTCATCGAGTCTCGAGCGAAGTCCGTCCTCCTCGGAAGCGAGGATCTGTCCTTCGATCCTTGTTGTCCCATCTTGTCCGTGTATTGTGCGTTGCTTTCTTCACCAATGTTTTCCCATTATAATCCGTAAGTAGAATCGTCCGTATTCCCCGTCGACGAGAATACGACTGGCCTGGCGCGTACCTTCATCCCGTCGTATTTGCTCGTGAATCGAGCGTGAGAATCGCTTCAATGTATATACGATCATCGCCGCCGTCGTGGCGACGTCGTTCTCCAAACCGAGATATACAACGGGCATCTTCCAGATGAGTCGGTCGCGACAGTCGATCGATCGCGACGCTTTCTTTGTCTTCACGACACGACACGAGCTCTTATATCACAGCGGCCCCGCTCGATATATCACGGTATATCTCTCGTGTTATTTTGCTTTGGACATCCGACACCAATCATGATCGGACACCGTATCGCATTTTATGGTATCACGTATCAACACAGCCACTACAATTCCGCGCGATTCGTAAACTACGCGTAAATATCGTTCTGATTGAGATTACTCCCGGTCGTCGAAAGCTCTCGCGCAATCTCGCGTGGGCTCAGCAGCAGCCGCCGATTCCGACGGCGATTGCGTAAGTTCGCGCAGGGCGGATCGAGGGACCGGTAGTCGCCGCGTACCGATACTCGTCGACCTTGCTCGCAACGCACGTGGTCGTTGCTCGGTCGAATACACCTGTCGCCGCCGACGAAGGTGGGGACGAGGCGGACGAAGATAGGAGGACATCCTCTTCGTCGACCTGCGACGAAGATGCACGATGACGAAGGTGCATGGCGAGCCAATGTATAAAGAAAGCACGACGAACTCCTCCGAGAAGAGGCCGGAAATAAACCGCGAATGGCGTTGACCCGTGCAGCTGTCGACGTGGTGTGTGCCGTTAATGCAGGCCTAGATACCGCATACAGGTAGACGATCGGTACGTATCTGCACAGGTAAATTACGGTGCTATGCGATTCAGATGCAGGCAGTGAAACACCGACACGAACATTGCCCTCAAATTGCACGGCACGGCAACGTATAACGGAGATGTCAAATCCCGGTGAGGCGACAGGTGGGGACGACGAGCCGACAAATATACATATAGCGGTCAAAAGCGTAGAGTATATGAATCGTGAAGAATATTAAAACACAGCGAAATATTAAAAATTCGTAAAAGTTTGTAGAAAAAATATTTTCGCGAGTTACATGTCCGCGTATGTAATCGACACGTGTGCACCGTGGCGGTAAAAGGAACGAAGAGAAGGCGACGCGACGGGAAATAGGTCATACATATATCGAGAAGAGGCAAGGCACACAACTCCTCTCTCTCTCTCTCTCTCCTCTTGTACGCACGTACATACACTTGCGTCGAAGGAACGTTCGCATCCGGGGCAACTCCCGGAGGAGAAATGTTGCAACACCTCCTCCTCCTCCTCCTCTCGACGAAACGAGAGGAATCAATGTCCGATTTAGAGCCGCCGCCTGGACGATCGCGCGATATTCACGGTCACTCGATGGCTTATCCACTGGCAACACATCGAGCTGTCATCGGACTATCCGCTTCTCTCACTCTTTTCCTCTCTCCCCCTCCGCATATAGGTCTACGGTCTACGCTATGCGCTGCTACGCATTCTCCGTTGACCTGATTTTCCGAGAGCGAGTGAGAAGTAATAGGTGTGTGTTCCATGAGAAAAAGACCGACGAGCGTAGGCGAGGGGCTAATGCATCAAAGATACATGCGCGCATTTCACATATATATACATATATATATATATATACACACACGATACGATTCAACACGAGATCCGCCGAGGACTACCGACCACCGGATGGATGCGACTGCGGCGAAGCTGCGCGATGCGCGTCGCTCGACGCAGCTTCCTCCTCCGTACAATAGAAGCAAAACGATGCTGCGTTCACCAGTGGCGCCGATAAAAGGGGCAATAAAGTTCCTCTAGGTCTCCTCGACGGCCTTTTACTGCCGCGGGTCGATAAGGAGACCTCGTCTTTCTCTCCGGTAGGTAAAAGCTATACTTAGAGGAACAGGACAGGATCTTTCCTATTTACGTGCATCTCCTCTTTTTCGAGATAAAGTATTTATCCTTACTAGGCCTTATTATGCGTTTTCCAAATAAATTCGAAGATTCTGAGATAATATCGTTTTGTATATCTCAATATGAGATAACGAAATCAATCCTGCGTCAATTTTGCGTTTCTTATTCGTTTTGAATATTGCTTTTAAATTATTTAATCTCGTTTGTACGAAGAATTTGTTACCCAATAACTCGTTGAAAGTGTATCGAAGACCATATGAAATAGCATTGTATCTCTTAAATACAGATACAGATGTTCTAACAAACAGCAATATTATATATAAGTTACACAATGAGAAAACTATGAGATGAAGAAGAAGAGAGAGAATAAGAGAATATCTCTCGTTACTCATATTTATTCAAAGATCTATTTATCATATATAACGATAATTACAAAAGTCATCATCCGTGTGACTCTATATGTTCCGCCAAATTCTTCAAATATGAATATTAATGTTACTTACTTGGTATGTCCTTACTCGGGCCACTGCTGAGATCGCTCATGGAACTACGAACAGAACTTCTAGCCGTTTCCTGCGTCGGTGATTTCATTTCTTGCCAACCGCGCGTTCTCCTAAGATTTGTAAATATAGTTTATGATACAAAGAAGTGTGAGCCGATTTTATAATCATAAATAATGGATCTCGTCAATTTTTTGACGATTATTATTATCAATAGACATCTCGCTGTACTATCTCTCTAATTCTAAACATTACGTATCGTTGCGAACATATTTTGACATGTCATGTACGTACGCGACGACATGCAACGATAATGACATCGTTAAAAGTTAGAAAAACGGCTTACTGATAATATTATCTGCATTATTTGTTATATTGAATAACTTTATTTAAGCCTCACCGTTTGTCCTTATTGTTATTGTTGTTTGCATCGCCGGCCTTCTTCGACGTTGGTCTCGCGGCAGGCGATAAAGTGAGATTTTGCAATACCCTCGATTTTACTTCTTTCCTAGCTGACCTTGTTCTTTGCTCATTTTTACCAGCCTCTATCTTGTTCATCACAGCATCCCAGCGTCCACCCTTCCTAGTCGATCTTTGAGAGCGTCTCGCCTCCTTTTCCGCATCATCTTTCGATGACGACTCGATCATCGCCTTAATCTTCGATACGACATTTCTCTTCGGCATTTTATACTTTTTCAAAGGCACCGAATCAGCCTTGCTTTGTGGTTTGGGCCTAATGTTTTCGTTATTCTCCACTTTCTCAATTACCATAACTTCAGCGGAGGCCGTTGTGTCGTTTATGCTACTTGTTTCGTCCGACGTCTTTACGGGAATCTGCAAGTGTTTTACGTATCAATGACATTTTGAAAACAGAATTTATGCAAAAACTAAATCTCGCACACTTGCACGTACCTGTAAGTAATCCATGATAACATTCGCTGCAACCGGCGTGGGTTGACTCCTCTGGGAAAGCTCAGTATCTCCGGTATCAGGAGTATGATCGTCGTTTTCTTCCGATGCTTGCTCGCCGGGTGCTTGAAGCTTATCCAAATCCGAGTAAATTCCACTAGAATCCATCTCTTCTCCAGTGAAGCTAGGACATACGCGTTCGCCCGGTGCGCAAAACAGCGTGCCGTCAATCACTTGCGCCTTCCTGTCGCCCCGCACAATCTCCTCGTGTGCATCCGCGTCGCTCTCAGTGAAGAAGTCCGAGTCGGTCATCGGGTCTTGGCGGCATGGCGCGGGAAGATTGACCGGCGGCACTGCCATAGATGGTGGATCCGCGCCGCGACTGGCCGGTCTCGAGTTCTCACCGTCTCCCTGATAGCCCGCTTCGAGACTAGTGATGCTCGTGACTGACGTTACAAAGCTTACCGGCACGGTATTACCACCCCTAATCGGCTCCACGGGTTTAGGGTCGAGCGGTAATTCTTCCGGCGAGGGCGTCCTTTCGCTACAGCCCTCTTCGGCGGGTTCCACATCGACTAACGGCCTCGTGGAAGCGGACGCTCGGGTCAATGCTAATTTCGAGCCGGCCGAACCAGTGAGATTCTCACAGGATGGTGTCCTGGAACATTCCAACGCCACTGTGAAATCAGTCATCTGGTCCGGCGTCAGTATACCGAGACTCTCGTCGTGCTCGAAGGAGTTTTGTTTGTTAAGCATCAAATAATGCGGTGTTGCACTCGCATCATTGTAATTGCCCAGGCCCGATTCTACAAGACAGGTGTCGCCGACATCTTCGATCATGCTCAGCTGAGAGTCTTCAAGTAGCCTATCACGAGAGAGAAAGGATACATGAGATGAAGCAATTGATAAAGCTACTATATATATATATTTAAAAATTTGTGATTTATATACCTGAACAAACTACTTTTTTCCTCGCTAAGGTGGACCAATTGTTGCACATCATTCTTGTCGATGTCCCATCCTGGTGATATAGTAAATGTCTGATCTGACGCTGAGTCGGCTGAAATACGGAATTCGTTTCGCACATGTTAGCCATATCAAGTGAAAGTGTATACATCATCGTAATTATTATAAATATAAATTCGCGTGCGCAATTACTTTTGATGTTAGGTGACGATGTGAATCCCGGGAACTTCTCCCGCGGAGTAGGAGATTCGTCCTCGGTGTTAACGAACTGAAAGCATCCCGAGAAGATAGTGGATCGACGACTTCCCGACAAGAGCCTCGACGCCTCGAGTACTCTCGATTTCGGAAAGAACGACGGTCGAGCTGCCCGTGGAACAGGTATTCGGCTCTCCCCTACGTTCTGCAAATAAAAGAGCGCGGGTATGAGTGCGATTTCTTCTTAAGTCACGCAAAGATCGTCCTGATAGGAATGATGGAAAATGAGTGTTTCTCGGTAATTAATAAAATTAATCACTGCTCAATTATACGAGTAGTTCGCGCGTAGTTCACTAATTATTTTTTTTTTTTTTTTTTTTTTTTTTTTTCTTTTCAAGGTCAGTTGATAAATTCAACCCAACGAGCACGATAGTCCGTTGCCCTTGGCCCTCCTCCAAATAATAGCTCCACCCCTCGAAAGATGAATCAGAAACGTCACAGTCGCTTAATTTAATTTTAGTTCGTGACTCTCTTCGTGTTTCTTTCTCTCCCTCTTTCGCGAGTGTCCCTTCTTTGTCCTCTTAAATACAAACGGGCGCCAGTCGCGATTTCGTACGGTTCTTCATCTCGTCACGTAACGAGCATACGTAACACGCTCGACGAGGAACGAATACAATTACGACTATTTGTTAAACTTGTCCTTTTAGAAGGTCTGTATGTGCAATATATATTTCAATGTAGCTTTACAAATAACTCGGTTTAATTGTTTTCCAATGATATATGCGCATTTGTCATAGAAACGAGGCAGAATTGTGTTAGCGTGTCTACGGATAATAACAGGTATATCATCATCGATGCTCTCTCCCCCGATGCGAGAAACGGGACACCTACGTAATCGAGGATACAACGTGTTGAACGTGTGTGGATGAACGTTAGTGCTGAGAACTAGGTTACTGCGAACCGCTACGCGCGGTTGGACTCGTATCCCGACTGTAAATTACCGATCCTTGGATGGATCCTTTCTTCTATTGCCGAAACACGCATGTATTAGAATTTCGTTCGAAATAATCGCGGCGTCTGCGGAAATATGATATGCAGCGACAACAATTTTATTTATCGTAGCGTTCAATCTAATCTCTCCTCAATTTATCTGCGGACGTGATATACATCTTTTTTATGTCGCAATAAAAATTTATATATTAAAAGAAACATTATGCGGGACCAGAACTTGTTTTTATCCGCGAACGTGCGGTATTGATGTTTTTTCCTCTCTGTTGCCGGTGTGTCTCGTTAAAAATCAACAGAAGCCACGCGAAACGATAATGTAATGGGTCAGCAATCATCACGGTCACATTGGCGCGCCTGTCTGTGTGCCTTTCACACATCTCATTCGCGTTATTGAAATTTACATTTTCTTCGCGTAAACACGTGTTTTTAACGCCCAAGTATCTAAGTAACGGGTACACCAGAAGATGTCACAAAGACGCGCTGTCGTAGCGATAAAATGCCAAGGTGAAAAAAAAAAAAAACAGAAAAAAAAACGGCGAATCAGCGAGCCGAATCGTACACGATTCCCGATCATTGATTGCCGTGAAAAGAAGGGAGAACGCGAGTCGAAAATTGAGAAATGACGAATAAATTTTGCATGTCGAGCGAGCGAGACCGGCTATCGCGACGACGGATATCGAGAGCATCGGTTTATCCTCAAGAGCCTTAATTCCCGCCAATTTGTGCAGACACGCGTCCGACAGTCATGCTTTGTTACTTTTCCAAGACGTGAAAACCGCTCGTCCGCTTTAACTGCATCCGAGGCGCTTCTCTCTCTCTCTCTCTCTCTTGGATGAATTATATAAAGACAATTTTAACAGCCTTCTCGCACGAGTCTCATTCAAGAGCGTTGAATCTCTGGGTGTTCTCGAGAGTGTCGGCGATATCTCTTCCCCTTTCTCGCCTAAGGGCGGATCGGAGGTAGAGACAGAATAATGATAATTTATGGTTTTCATCAGTAATACCGGTTTCAACTTCAGGTATATAAAGATCGCTGGGACGGTATATTATACTGCGGAATTTTTCTCCCATTGCGTCCTGCAATTTTACTCGATTCATACATTATGCAATTAAGTTAATGCGCGTGACAACACAAGATGACTTGTGTAACGGGCTATTGACGGTGTAGTTGCTCGCGCGGCGCGATTGATTATAATCTCAATAAAATAATACATTCCATGGCACGCGTTCGCGATCGATCGCTGACTTTTCGACACACTGTCTACGATAAGATTAAAATTATCACGAATAGAAAGTATCTCCAACGCATCTTTTGTGTTGTCTATTTTAAAGACAATAAAGTTACATTTATTTATTTATTTATTTAGAGAGAGAGATTGCGCATCCACACACATGCTACTTCCAATTAATATTGATATTAATAACGTCACTTATCTACTTTTATTGCATCAGAGACATTAGGTTAAACCGTTATCAATGTCAATGTGTCAATAGTTTGCGGAACGATATAAACATTACAGCCAGTTGTATGATCCAATCGATGTAAAACGTGGCAAAATTTATACACCTCGTCGAGTCTCACTTTGAACTGCACGGAAATATCAAAGTGTATAACCTTCGTAGATAAGCTATCGCAAACATTGTTGTTAACATTCTTCGAATGTCTGTTTTTCACGAGTCTGGGATCGATAAGCATCCGTAGATTAAAGTTACCGATTATTTGGATTCTACAGATGTACTCGTAAACATATTCCTTAACACGCTATAATTAATTTCAATAGACCCCATTGACACAATCTTCCTTAACGAGAGTCGTAAATTGTCATACGCGGTATATATATGAGAGACGGTTCACTTTTTCACTTGATATCAGCGTGTTTTCATCGAGTAAAAAATACATAGCGAGTTGCGTGCAAAATAGAAAATAAAAAGAACAACAAACGTACCCCGTGTTATCAGCATTTCTCACACGACACCGACTTGGCTCGCAAACTTTCCACACACAGCGTCACAGATTCCCCGATGGAAAAAAAAATAGGAGGGGAAAATAAAGAGACAAAGAGAGAGAGAGGATTCTCACAACGTAAGCTCGTAAAGCACGGAGGATCGATAACGACTAACGACAGGCGGGTCGCGATCGTGTTGCGGCCGACGCGGCGTGTACGACAATAAAACATTCCGGATCCGCTTCGCGATCCCCGGTTACACCTGCTTGTGTTCCTCTACCACCACCACCGCCGCCACCGCCACCGCAACCGCCAGGCGCGTAACCGCGGCCTCATCGTGAACGACCGTCCGTCCGTCCTGTCCGAGAGAGGATTCTCACAACGTAAGCTCGTAAAGCACGGAGGATCGATAACGACTAACGACAGGCGGGTCGCGATCGTGTTGCGGCCGACGCGGCGTGTACGACAATAAAACATTCCGGATCCGCTTCGCGATCCCCGGTTACACCTGCTTGTGTTCCTCTACCACCACCACCACCGCCGCCACCGCCACCGCCACCGCCAGGCGCGTAACCGCGGCCTCATCGTGAACGACCGTCCGTCCGTCCTGTCCATCGCGCATCGAGCGGGAGCGAGCGAACATACGCACTGGCAACTGGCGTGTCGGCGATGACGATGACGACGATTACTCTATTCCGTCTCGGAACATGCGGCCTCCCTGCATTCACCAAGCCGTAAATCCGTTGCGTACGCGACGAGCGTGTATAAACTGAATAAATGTCTGAAACTCGATATTTTGTATTGCAAATGCGTTCTGCGTAGCTCTTGGTCTCTCGGATTATCTATATTATATTCTTTTTCCACTTGCTAAAATAATTCCAAATTGCTCCTCCTGATATTTAATATTTTATTCCTATTCCTAATATTTTCTCTATTGTGCGCAGGGTCTAGTGACATAAAAAATAAAAAATAAAGTGACAAATTGAGGCTCGCTTATGTTGCTCGATATTGTTTTGCTTTGGATTTATTGAATTCAAAGATTAGGTTTTGTTAAAGCCTCTTGTGTTACTTGTCATTCGATATTTATAACGCATATGTATTTGATATACGATTGGAAGATTGTTAGTACCGTGCGTATTCGCGCGTGTAGAAAATGGAACACTGGGAAATTTGCCAATGTCCAGATTATCTATCCGCGTCTGCGCCGTCGAAGTTTGGAGCGTGTTGCTCTTAAATTATGTAAAAGTAGCATCATACTTTGCTCGCGTGCATGCGACCCAACTGTAGATCATTTCGTAATATCATCGTTTGCTGTTTCCTTTTCCTCCCGAAGCTATAGGAACATCAGATTATACAATATATACGGTGGATCGGTAATATTGATACGCGCCACATCTTAATCGTGTCGAAATCAAATGATCACCCTACATATAACTAATGTATTAAAGAAGCCTAATCGTACAAAAATTAATTTAAAAAAAATTACAGAATAAATCGCGCGTCGTTCTCTCGACAACAGCTGTCTATAATTCAACAGAATGCAAAAATATAAATGCAAATAAAAAAATCACAAATAAATATTATTCTCGTTTACATAATTCTTATTATTAGTTTTCCTTCACTCTCTTTCTCTCTCGTGCAAATTCTTGCCTTTCCTCTTTCAACTCTTCGCGTTAACACGAGTTACGAAATATCCTATTGCTAACACTTACAGTTATTTGCTCGACATCCTGCCGGTTATTGACTTTAACCGTTATTGACAGACAAACCGAACAACGTATCTCGATTCGACGCGCAACGTCGTCGTCACCGACGCGCGAATGCGCGTACACGTATCCCCGATGTCCTCCCTTTTCATTCCGGGATGACTTACCTTAGCCATATCGTGGGTGGGACCGCGGCGATTCGGCACTCGACACTTCTCCCTCGCGGTACCCGGACGCGTGTTCCTCGTTCGTGGATAAGGGCGTCCCGCCGAGTCGCATGTCCTCGTCACGGATCTAGTTTTCCCGGCCGCGATTACGCGAATAAGCCGATTTTCTCGGCCCTCGGTCAAGACCCCACGAATCTCCGTCGTTCCTCGACGTCGGCGTCGTCGACGACAATGTTATTGATCGACGCCGCGCGGAGGCGTCGCTGTCCGTCGCTGTATCGCGGCGGTCGACGGGGAGGAAGAACGGATGGGAGGGGAAGGGGGAGAGGAGGTTTGGCGGTGGAATCACCATCGAAATATTCTCGCCGATGTTCGGGGCAGCGAGAGGGGGAGGGGAAAATCGCACCCTCGAATTGAGACGCGCTATTGTATATATGCCGCGAGATTATTACGCACGGCGTATATCGCTTCGCGACTGAGGATTCTCCCTCGAACATTCTCCCCGACACGCCGGTACCTGTATCAAAATACAGAATGATGCGCGAAAACATCAGCTCTTGACGTCAACGATTTTTTTCAATGTCAACACGCGCGAAAAAGAATAACAAATAAATACTTGCCATGAGACAAACGGAGAAATCTCCCCACAAGCGATCCTTGAAATGTAATAGTATATTGAAGTAATAACGAAGTAACTGGTATCGCAAATATATAATAATATAAAGAAGGAAGAAAATGTCCTTTCGAACTTACGTTTTCGCAGTTTCGAAATCGCGCCCCGTCAC